ATGTCTGTGTGTGTATGTCAGTATGTATGTTTGTATGTGTCTATCTGTATGTGTGTGTGTATGTCAGTATGTATGTCTGTTTGTCAGTATTTATGTCTGTGTGTGTGTCTGCAAGTATGTATGTCAGTATGCATGTATGTTTGTGTGTGTGTATGTCAGTATGTCTGTATGTATGTATCTATCTGTATGTATGTGTGTATGTCAGTATGTATATATGTCTGTATGTATGTATGTCTGTGTGTGTGTATGTCAGTATGTATGTGTGTATGTATGTATATATCTATCAGAATGAATGTCAATATGCATGTATGTCTGTGTGTGTGTATGTCAGTATGTCTGCACTTCCTTACCCAGCTTCTCACGCACCACATCTGGGAATTCAAAGACCGATTTTAAGTTACACACACTTGAAACGGGATATAAAACCCCTCCCCGAAACCCGATTGCAACAAAGCCGCGTCTGACTTGTTACCTTATTGGCTTAGCCACAGTAACATCACATCGAGCTTCACTGGCGTTAATCCCTGAGGCAACGAGAACTGCCCTGTCAGAACCCGCTCCGGAAGAGGTCCCAGTCTTACCCCGTTTAAAACATCTATTGAGGCCATGGGTACCCCCACAGCCTGAGCATTAATGCTTAAACCTACACCCAGTACTCCACTTGCACTGGCCCTCATTGAAGAGCAAGCAAATACCTCGCTTGAACGCGGTCGACGAAGAGGACTGACTTCCAGCGCCGGCCGCCGACTGAATGGGAGTCGACTTCTGCGCCATCATAAGCTTCATCCATAGAGGCAGGTGCATCTGGTCCCACCGCATTCCAGGGTTGCCGCAAGTCGCTATCGGAATTGCTCATTGTATTTCCACCACCCCAGACCGCCGTACGTGCGGTAAGCCTCCCACACCCCTTCGAGATAGCAGAACAAAGTGTCAGGATTACTAGTTGATCCAGCATATAGAATTGTGTCATACAGATGACTAATAGGAATCAGGGATACCAGAATACAGGGAAGTCAAAATCAAAGCCAAATTCAAAAACCAGAAGAAACTTGAATCAGGAACGCGCTCTCGGACAACCACTAGGGAAACCACGGCAGGGCACTAAGCAGGATGAGAACTGGGCCTAAATACACCTCCTCTGGATCTGATAGGGTGTAATCGGCCTTTGACCCCAAAGACAGTTATCAGGCTACCATTTGCATAGTTGCTGCTCAGCACAAACCCTCATGTGGATTTGATTGCTGCTCAGCACAAACCCTCATGTGGATTTGATTGCTGCTCGGCACAACTTTTCCTGTCAGGACAGTAATGTTGTTCGGCACAACTTTTCCTGTCAGAACAGTAAATGTCATTAATCACATTTTTATATGTGGATGAATACGTGACACAAAGATGAACACAGACCCGGCGAGTTCTCACCAATAACACTTGCTAAGATGCAGAAAGCACGCACGTTTTTCCTCCTCCTCTGTTTTGGAATGCTTCTTGTCCTCTTCCTTAAGGTCCAAGTAGTCCTTCAGCAGCAATAGCGAAAATATTTTGCAAAACTCACCTTTCCATATTTTCTCTTTCACCTCCTGTTTCAAATGCACTCCTAAAGGGCCCGCAAAGGACACATACGCATGCCGCCGTGCTGCATGAGGAATGCCCCCAGACAGTTCGTCTCTCTCTCTACCCAACTCCGATGTCACCGCTGTTGCCTGCGCCGCCGCTGCTGCCCCAGCACCGGACTCGGAACGTCCGCCGGAGCTCCCCCCATCCGACACACCCGAACCCGGAGCCCATACCTTAGCAACATACCCCCATGCAGTCCCACATTTGCCCCAGGAGTCAATTAACCATTACAACGAGTCAATAAAACCCTGTGAGTGCTGTGTAGCATCCAACTCACCAACCAAGCCCTCAGCCTGTGCAGGCCCCAGAGCTGCATTACGGGATCTGACCGGTCCAGGGCTGACCGCCCATGCATCCGCTCCACCAACTGGGGAAACCACCTGATGCCTGGATCGCCGTGAAGAAGATTTGCTCTGTGACCTAAAATGCGAAGAGACATTCCTGGGCACGGTGAACCGTTCACCAGACATCCCCTGCCGTGACCCTGGGATCGGCTGCTGGGCCGCGGGCATCCTGCCCCCTCTCCTGGCCATCCCGGCCGCTGCGGACACCGGACTCCCGCTGACTCTACCCCTGGGGCTATGATTCCTGACATGATAACCGGGGGAACTCCTGCAGGACTCCGACCCGGAACTTACTAAACGGCCCCTGAAAGATTCAGCCGCACCTGACCGTTGCCCAGATCTCGAGCGGGAATCACGTGGGGCACCGCTGAGAACTGGTCCAGACTGCTGATGTGAGAGCCCACTGGGCTCCCCCTCTGGGCTCCTGGATACCTCCTGTACCTCCTTGGGCAAGCCCGCCTTACCCCGAGCTGTTCTCTCCTCCCGCGCAATCTGGGCCACCTGCTTTGTCATGAACCCTCCTCTGCCATCCTGGACATCCGAAGCGCAGCCTGCAGCATGCGCCTGCCTGCCGGAGCCATACAGACCATATCCAAGGGCCCCAAGGGACAGTGATGCCCGTCCAATCCTGTGCGCCTACTCTTGCAACTTCAACTCACCCCTCCCCGAGATGCCCTGAGGGGGCCCAGACAATGCAAGGGGGTGACTCTGATCCTGCGCCCCCCTTAATGGCACCAACCCCCCCATGCTCTGCCCTTGCCCAATGCCACCAGCCTGCGACACCGTCATGCACCGTCCATGCCGTGTTGAACCAGCACCACACATGAGGCCGTCCTCTCTCCTGACCCCCGGCCACTAGTCAGGTCCCTTGCTCGACTCCCAAAGGGCCCCAGCCCAGTCCCAGTGACACCCCTAGCAGAGCCTACTGCAGCAACCGCGAACAAAGCTTTTCCCTGGGCCCTATGACAGTCCCTGATGGCCCCGGGGCCCCCCTCAGAGGGACCAGCTGCTCCACTTACACCAAGGTCACTTGCCTGCCTGTGGGATACTCCTCCAGCGACACTGCTCCTGGTCCTCCTGGCAACAGCATGCTCACTGTACCGTCTCCGCTGCCAGGGGCCGCCTCACCGGCCCTGTGATCTGCAGTCCCGGGCTCCCACTGCCGACCGCAGCAGGGTCCATTCCTTGCCCAGCTTCCCCCGACTGGGGAGCCACACTACCGTCCACCTGGCCATGCAGCCACATGCTCCCGCGCCCCCTGGCCATTTACGAGCCCTGTGATCGGGCCTCCAACCTCGCAGCTCCGTGCAGCCACCTCCACACCGTCCCCTGCCGGCGGGCCTGACATCCCAGCCCGGGCTAAGCCTCTGTGGCAGCCTCCTCATCCGCGCCAGTCCCACCACCTTTCCGGATCCCCGGTCCCAGGTGCTCCTGCACCTATGCTGCTCCACGATCCCGTGTTGCCGCTGTCACCTCCACCAGGAGCTGCTCCACCGGATCCATCCTCTGGGCCTAGAACTTGCAGCAAGAAAAAACTACCAGGCCCAAACTGCTCACAGGAGTTGCACACAAATTAGGCCAGGTAAGCAAATTAAAAGTAAATGGCTGTCTATTTATACTGGGCCAACCCCTTAACACTCCAACTCCCAATCCCAGGGGGCCTTGCCCCAATGCCCACCTCCTAGCTCTGTCAAGCCCCATTCCACTAAGCTGCCCTTGTTCCATAGGGTTACATGAAAGCTGTGATTAAAAATCAGGGTGTTCCCAACAAATATTAATTAATTTTTTCATTGCATCATTCGAGGTCTGAAACCAATACATTTTATGATATTGTTGAGCGGTTCTCGTAGTCTGAAAAAGTGACAATATTTTTATTTGGGATCTCCCCCCTTCAGTTCAAGTTCTAGAATAGAAATTATAGAAACATTTCCATGACTAGCATCTGCCTTGACTTCTGCAGGACTGTCTTGATTTTTGGCCCAAGTCCCACAGCCCTGATTTCATTTTGTGGTGTCCCTAGATATAGGGACTGTCCCAGCATTACATCATTAGATGCACTGTCCTGTGGGCACTTGGTCCATGCAGAGAGTGTTGATTGGTCTGCCCTAATTGAGGCCAGTCAGGAGGCTGTCAGTCAACCTAGCGTGTGTTCACATCAGGCAGACATGCCTCGGCTTTGGCTGGCTATTTTGTACATTTTAGGCATCAACAGTGATCACTGGAAGACCTTTTTAGACCCACAAACTCCCCTGTTCTAAATTAATACCTACCTCCTATTGTTTAGTGGTGTGAATTTCTGATATTCACAGATGCTGAAACTCTACTAATAGTTTCACAGTTATGTAAAAATAACCCACAATAATTAATCTGGACTCTTATCACAAGACATGCTGAACACTAGTTTGATACATTACCCACTATATTTTATGTAACCTAACTGCTATGCATGCTTTTGCTTCGATTGTGTATCAACATTAGATTCTTTTGTGGCATTCCTTATTCATTTGTTTATTTAGCTTAACGTATTTCTTAATTTTAAACATGAGTCCATTGATTGACCCACTGAACCGCAGTACTGAGAATGCATTCTGTGAGTTCCTATCAGATTCTGTGGAATTTTACTGGAGTTATTTGCCAGCAAAAAAAAATAAAAAAATAATAATAATAATAATGAGCTATGCAAGTGAAATGTGTGCTAGTTGAACTCAGATCAACCGTCTGATTGTTGATGTTCAATGAATGCCACAAAGTAGTGTAGCTTTTTAGAGGTTTCTAAGAATTTAACCGCCAGAGTTTGGAACATAGTGCTATATATTCTATATATGGAATAAAAATTATAAAACAAACTCTATGCCTGCTATGAAGAAAGGGAACACACAGTTTGTTATTGCACAAACGATTGTATGTTGGATTGAGGTTCACAGAGTCCATACATCACATAAATACCTGATTATACGACTCCCCTATATATAGATGTGCAGTATAGTTTAAGCTGATCTGGTCATTTCATTACAACATTATATAACATTGGAGTGGAATAATTAACGTTCCTGAATTTTGTAGTCCTTTACAATCACTTCAAACCTGAGTGATTGTTGACTTAATCTAGGGAATTTGGGGTTCCTCTATCTACTAGATGGGTAAGTAAATTTGTTTGAATTTTGAAATGTGTTACAGATCTAATTTTGAGCTAGTGCACTTTCATTGGTGCAAGTTTCTATTTTTTTTTTTTTAGTTAATATAAGAATAAGTGGAATTAGTGTTGCTTTCTCCCCTAAAACAATTGACATCCATAAGTGATCAGTTCAATACAGCTTTACTGTATACAGTCTTAACTTGCTGCTTGGAAAAAAAAAAGTAATTTTTTTAATCCAGGAAATAAGGTTGTGGCCAATTTTATAATATGACAGGAGGCTTCATATTTGCTTAGGTCTCTCTTTACTAGAACTCCACAGCAGCACATTAACATAGAGAGAAAAACATCAAAGACAAAAACATCAGGAATCCATAAAAGGCTTCTCCCAACCAACTATTTCCTCTTTCTTTGCTGCTTCGCAGTCAGTACAGGTCAGAGTACCACTGCCTCCTGTTTTATGGGTGGCTGTGTGTTTTATTATCATATTCATTGGAGTTACTTGTAACTTGTGCATTATTCCTTACAGTTTAGTTACCTGTTTTACTACTTTTATTCTGTTTGCTTATGCAGTTTTTCTTATGCAGTGTCTATTTATATGCCGTTTTGTTTCCCTTGCTTGTGCATGCTTAGGTGTTTCATCTGTGTATTTTTTATCTGCTTCTTATTGCCCTTGCTATCTGTAGACGGTCGCCATGAAGTGGTCATTCGACCGCCTCCCGTGCCGAGTGCCGGGACCACGGAGTAAGACTTCGGCGGTCCGAGCAGGAATCCTCTTCCTGCCTCCCTGTCCTGCCCTCGTCTCCGCTCTTTTTTGGTTCTACCCGAGCGGCGTGGGGAAGGAGCAGGGAGCTGCACTCTTACCGCGGGAGCGTCTGCTCCCGAGCACCCATCCCCCCACGACCGCGTGGTCAGACACGGGGGTGCGCGGCTCTAGCCCGAGTCCGCCGCGCGTGTCACTCCAGCCTTAAAGGCACGTTGCCCATTTCTGTTGGGCTGCTCAGCTTACTGCTCAGCCCCCACTGCATTCTACAGTATTTCTAGTGCATGTTTCTGTGTTGCTGCAGGCTGCAGTTATTCTCACTGCATGTTTTCTGTAGCCATGCATGATTTCTGTGGACATTACTGCTTGCTCAGTGCATGATTCCTAGGCTATAAAGTTTTTCTCTATGCATTACACCTGCATGGGACCCTGCTTGGCATCACTGCCCTCTCATTGACCTAGGATTGGTCTGGGGAACCCCTCCTTTTACATCTCTACCCTGCACACCCTCTCGGTCAAGATTGTATCTGCATGTGTACCAATGAAGGCTTTACGCTCCTGCCTGCATATACCACTGGGCCGGTGCTACCCGTGCCCATATACTGGCCTGCTTTGTCTGTGCCCCATGATTAGCCTGCTTTGTCTGTGCCCCTGTGATTGGCCTGCTTTGTCTGTGCCCCATGATTTGGCCTGCGCTGTCTGTGCCATACTACGCATGCTCCTGGGCTGGTGGTTCTATACCCTGGACCCCTGTTTAAGCCTGCATGCACGTACTTCTTGCCTATGCCATTATTAGGGGTGCTGCCCCTATTGCCTGCTAGTGATACCTGTCCTCTATTCCCTTTAGGTATCACGTTGCATCACCTCCTGCACTATGGATGCCTCTGCACAGGAGCAGAATTTGCAGGCTGATTAATGCGGCTGTGGCCGCCTCTGTGGAGAAGGCCCTGGCTAGGGCCCTCCCTCAACCACAACTGGAACAGGGTGCCAGAGGGAACCCCCGTTTAGCAGACGACTCGGTGGAGTCGGACTCTCAGGAGCAAGGGTAGGCAAGTGCAATACCGCGCTATTGGAAGGGTGAAGGCCCTGAACCACGCTCCCGGAAGGGTAAGGCCCCAACGAAGCGTCAAGATTCGAGGTTATTAACCTCTCTGGCCAGTCGCCGCCGTTTATCGGGCGCAGGGGAGGAGGCCTCCTTACCCCCCCAAACTATGGCCGTACTAGATGAGTGACGGGCAGACCAGTCCCCCTCAGAGGAGGAGGATGATTGGGACGAGGACAGTGGGGATGGGTCCAAGTGGCGCTGGGAGGATGAAGACACACCAGCGACAGAGGACCCCACGGCGGCGTTGGGGGATGATATCTTCCTGGATGCTACAGGAGCGCCTCTGTTTGACCCTCGATCCATCCGGCACCTCCAATCCTCAGACTGGTCACTGCCTGACCACTTGGCACAATTTGTGCACTACTGGGTACGCAGACCTCTTGAAGGGGAGGTCCGCAAGATAAACAGCTGGATATGCTGGGCCCCCTGTGCAGGATGTTGGCGCTGGCAGACGAGGCCTACTTGGAAGGTACGGCCCTGGAACCAGCCACCATGCGAGATGGGGCTTTACGATCCATTTGCCTGCTGGGCAATGCTAATGCAGCCCTCTCCATGGAACTCAGGAAGGCAGTCCTGCTCCGTATGGACAGCAAACTGTCAGAGCTGGAGTCAAAAGAACTGGGCCCCATGGCTAAGAGCCTGCTATTTGGGGAGCCTTTCATCAAGGAGCTGCACAGACATGTTAATCTGTTCACCTCCCTGGACAAGGCCCAGTCCTCCATGAAGAGGGTCTTCCGGAAACAGACATCCCGGGTTTTTGGAATGGCTGGACGACAGTGGGGTCGTGCCTCCAGCCGCAGCTGGTCTTCGGGCCGCCATAGATCCCGTGGACCATCCTTCTTCCCATCATACCAATCCAGACCTTTCTACACTCAGAGGTCGGATAGGGGTCGAGTGAATCGTGCAAGATTCTCAGCAGATGAGAACTACTCCTGCCATTTCTCCCTTTCCCCTACTGCATGCGGGCAGACTGTTTCACTGCAGGGACAGTTGGCGGGAGGTGTCTTCAGATGCATGTGTCCTTCGGACCGTTCAGGGATATGTCATAGACTTTCACTCCCCTTCGGTACAAGTCGGACCCCCAAGGGTTCCCGTCATCTCAAGGGAACAAAACAGGTCCTGATAGATGCGGAAATCCGGACTCTGTTCAACAAGGGCGTGGTCCAATGGGCCCCGGACACAAAGGGTTTCTTCAGCTCGATCTTTCTTGTGAGGAAAAAGTCCAGAGAATTCCGTCCAGTAATCAACTTGCGGGAACTGAACGCCTTCGTGGTCTACCACCACTTCAAGATGGAGGGCATCCATCTTCTGCGGGACCTTCTCCAGCCAGGAGACTGTTTATCCAGACTGGACCTGAAGGACGCTTACCTCCCCGTCCCGTGGACGACGAATGTCGCAGATTCCTCCGTTTCCTTTGGAAGGGCAGCCCATGCCAATTCACTTGTCTTCCCTTCGGCCTCAGCTCGGCTCTGTGGTGCTTCACCAACCTCCTGAAGCTGGTGGTTGCTCAACTCAGGGCAGAGGGCGTCCGTTGTATAATATACTTAGACGACTTGTTGATCTTCTGCGAGGACCCGTCCAGACTCAAGTGTCAGACACACTCTGCGGTCTCCTTATTCGAACGCCTGGGGTTCGTAGTCAATCTGGAGAAGTCAGCTCTCGACCCTTCCCAGACAGTGGAGTTCTTGGGTTTCAAGGTGGATGCAAAAGACTGCGTTCTACGTCTGACTCTGACCAAGATAACGACCATTCGGAAGGAGATAAGGAGGATCCTACGGCAAGACCGGATCCCCTTCGAATGTTAGCTTGTGTCTCGGCTCTATACAGGCTATCTACCCAGGCCCGCACCACTACAGGGCCATGCAATGGCTGAAGGCTTGTTTTTTATGCAGGAGGCCCTCTTACAACCAGTTGATTCCCCTGTCCCCGGACGTGAAGACCGAACTGCGCTGGTGGCTCCTGCACATGTCAGCCTGGAATGGCAAGACGATATTCGGACCAACACCGGACTTCGTGCTAGAATCGGATGCGAGTCTGTGGGGCTGGGGTGCCACCTGCGCGACCGGATCCACGGGTGGCCCGTGGTCGAACACGGAATCTGAGTTCCACATCAATTGCCTGGAATTGGATTCAGAGCCTGGCAAACCATCTCTTGGACTGCTGCATCCTCCTTCGGATGGACAATGTCTCAGCGGTACTGTACATCAACCGCTTGGGGTGCGCTCGTTCTCGAACACTGTTGGAAGTGACCAAGGAGATTTACAGCTTCTGTTTCCAATGCAACATCACCCTACAAGCAGAATATCTTCCCAGGGAATCGAATCTGATGGCGGACTGGTTCTCCAGACATTGGAGGGACACCAGCGATTGGAAGCACCTTCAGCCCATCTTCCTCGAACTCGTGAATCAGAGGGGCCCATTCCCGGTGGATCTATTCGCCTCCAGGACGAAATACCAGATCCAGACTTACTTCAGCTGGCTCCCGGACCCAGCGTGCTCGGCGGTGGATGCCTTTCTCCAGGTGTGGCCTTCGCAGGGAACGTATGCTTTTCCTCCGTTCGCTATGATTCCCAGGGTGTTGCTACAAGTTCAACGTCAACGTGTGTCCTTGGTGTTGCTGACTCCGCAGAGTCAAGCCTGGTTTCCGGAGCTCCTGGATCTCTCCCATCGGGATCCTCTGCTCTTACCGTCCCCTCGAATGCTCCTCTCGGACTCCCGGGGCAACCCGCACCCCCTAGTGAGGGACGGCCACCTGCACTTGGTGGCCTGAACTCTTTCAGGTGTACCTGGAATGTCGAGGCGTTATCGCAATCGGCTAAAGACCTTCTCTGGAATTCCTGGGCTCCCGGGACGAGGAGATGCTATCTCTCAGCATGGGGTTCCTGGTGTCGTTGGTGCCTGGAACGGGATACTGATCCCTTTACAGGCCCTGTAACTAGCATGCTGAACTTTTTGTCTCACCTCTCCGACTTGGGACGATCGTATAGCTCGGTTAATGTGGCTAGGTCAGCTATCTCAGACGCATGTCCCGCTTAGAAGTTTTCCCATCGGCCAGGATCCGCTAGTCTGCAGACTTCTTCGTGGGATGAGGCTGGCACGTCCACCGGTGCCTAAGTACTCCTCCCTCTGGGACATTCGTTCGTTTTTAGCGTTCCTTTGGGATTGGCTGGATAACCAGGACCTTTACCTTTGCCAGCTTTTGGCCAAATTTTCCCTCTTATTGTGTCTGGTCTCATTCAGTTTCTGATGTCCGGGCCTTTGATGTCGACACTTTCGCATTCTCTCCGGAGGAGGTCACCTTCAAGGTGGTTAGACGTACCAAGTCGGATTCAACGGCTGTGTTGTACCCTTACTTCAGGGATTCGCCTAAACTCTGTGTGGCGAAGGCACTAGCTTCGTTATGTAGCGGTTACCACTCCACTTCGCTCTTCTCATTCTGGCCAGTTGTTGATCTCATATGTCAGACCCCATAAACCGGTCTCATCCCCTACCCTGGCTCGATGGATAAGATGGTTATTGACACTGGTGGGGGTGAATGCGACCTTCGGAGCGCATTCAGTTAGAGGCGCCGCAGCTTCTGGAGCTTTCATGGCAGGAGCATCCCTTCAGGACATTTTGCGTTCGGACTGGTCCCGTGAAGATACTTTTCGCCAATTCTACTTTAGACCATCAGACCATGCTTCTTTTGCTTTGCTGTCAGAGCGTTAAAACAGCAAATATGAAGCCTCCTGTCATGTTATAAAATTGTAGATAATACTAGCTTTAGTGTAACTATAATCTTAATTTTATTAATGACAGGAGGCGAATATTTCCTGCCTGTTTTTTTCTTCCCCCCCCCCTTGTTTGGATTGATTGTTTTGACTGATTTTCTGTTTATTTGCCTGGTCTCCTAGGCTAGATTTGGTAATCTGAGGTGATATCTATGGAAGTTGGGGGGGTATCTGGTATATTGTATTGCTGGTAGTTGATGATGGGATTCATGTTATTGTACTATCAGTACTGGATGATGGGATTCATGTTTTCTCAGTACATTTCGTTCACTAATCAGTGTTTTCGACTCTGTTTATTTCGTTTCAGTTTAATAGTTCGACTACAGTTCATAGAACCGACTGTCTTGCAGGATGAAGATCAAGATCCCATCCATTCTTCTAAGTTTTCTTCCAGATGGCAATCATCGTTATGTTATGTTTGTTCTTCCTTTAATTTGTTTATTGGCATTGTTATGTACCTTATTTTGTTGCAGCGTGAAAGAGGAAATAGTTGGTTGGGAGGAGCCTTTTATGGATTCCTTATGTTTTTGTCTTTGGTGTTTTTCTCTCTATGTTAATGTGATGCTGTGGAGTTCTAGTAAAGAGAGACTTAAGCAAATATTCGCCTCCTGTCATTAATAAAATTAAGATTATAGTTACATTAAAGCTAGTATAATCTACAATTCTAAGCTTCAAAACTCAGAGGACAAACACTTTGACACCACACGACTCAAGTTGAAAACCCTCATATTATACCATATAATGTTGAGGCGACTGACAACTGAGGCTTTTTTTCCCACAATCTAACTTAGTGTAAATCTTGGTAATCGTGCCCTTTAGCAACAAAAATGTCTCAAAATCATATGGAAGCACCACAGGAAGATGCCACAGCATAGATGGCTGAAAGACCCGAAGGAGAGAGAGCCATGGTAAATATCAGTTATGCCTGCCTCACAAGCCTACATGGTGACAAGTATGTGCTGCCTTCAGTTTGTGGCCTTTTGAAAGCCATAAACATTCCTCCCATGCTGGCTGTATGTTGGGGGGGCTTCTCCTGAGCCAGGCATGGTCTTGCAAAGGTTCAATCTGCTCAATCCATGGTAAACTTTCAAGCCCAAAGGCATGGTCCAACTGGCAGCTCTTAAAGGACCACTATAGTGCCAGGAAAACATACTAATTTTCCTGGCACTATAGTGCCCTGAGGGTGCCCCCACCCTCTTGAAAAAAAGCCCTGTTGGGGCTGAAACGTTGCTTTGTAGTTCCTGGTTCAAATAAATTGCCTTAAGAATTGGAAACTATTGGAGTGCCTTGATCATTTTCTACAAATTTACCTCACAGTAAAGGTCTGGTCATCAGCCTACTCCTTTGCTTGGCAGTCCCATCTTGTGTCTGGGTAAAACTCCTAGCGTGTCAGCAATTCCATGTTAAGTCAGGGCCCAGTTCCAACACTGTGCTTGACTGTTAGCCTTCCACTTCACATTACGGACACTGATGTTGTCAGTTTTTACGAGCTTCTCAGAGGATTTGTGTTGTAGAATCCTCATGGTGTGACGCCGCTTCCGATTGACAGTCTTCCGCCTATGCAGTGGCTTGCAGCCCTCGCAGGCCCTTGATAAGCGGGGCAGGAGCGTGGTTGGCTACCATCCAGCCCTAGTATCTCACCCCTGCTATCTGTTCTCAGTGGCTGCGGAGGGGAGGTAGCCATTCTCTATTCCAGTCATGCCCAAAAGCTTTCGAATATAGCGCCAGCTTTAACATGTAGTAACTGTGGAAGTCCTGCAGCGATGTGGCGTGCATCTCCACAGAAACTCCCTCTGCCATCTTAGAAAGCATCTCAATTAGGTAGTAGGAGATTTCCTCTACAGCAGGGTTAGCCGCTCATGATAGTCCAGAAGGATAACCTCCCCCCCCCCATCTGTGGAGAGTATCCGTCTCTCGTAGACCACAAATCCTCGAGTTGGGCAAATTGGATGCGGAGAAGCTCAATTAAGGTATCTCCAGTGTCACCGTCGCCTCCTTAAAGGGACACACCTTGCACCCAGACCACTTCAGTCAATTGAAGTGATCTGGGTGCCAACTCCCATCACCCTTAAACCTGCAAGTGTAATTATTGCAGTTTTTATAAACTGCAATAATTACCTTGCAGGGTTAAGTTCTCCTCTAGTGGCTGTCGATCAGACAGCCACTAGATGGACTTGCGGGTTCTTTTTTTTTTTAACCTACCACATTTCAAAATTATGAAGTTGTATTTCACTAACTAAACACTAAAAAATACAACTTATGCAAGTCTGCTTTTTCTTTTAAACACCAAAAAAACGTGTGTTGTGATGATCATTCAGTGGGGATTTACATTTAAAGAGGAAGTAAAACATATAACAGATTCATTTTCACCCAGGATAATATTGTTAGCTTAAGCTGTTGTTTTGACTGGTACATGTGGATAAGGCAAACACCTTTTGTCTAAAAACATCTGGGGTTCTAGAGGGGCAGGCAAGCCCTGGGGCTGAAATCAACGAGCAGCTGTTAAAGCGCCTTTTGTGGCTCAACACAGTGAGCAGAAACAGATTGACTGATATACAGTTTGCTCTGAATGTTTGTATGATCTACTATGCTAGGCCAAGCTTAGCTTGAAAAAATATTTGTGGCATTTGCTATAATCCAGCCAACCATTCCTTTTCCTTGACCTGCCTCTTGTGGGGAACCAGGAATGTAAGAAATTTTTACTGCATGTTTCTGCTCAGCACATTTTCTTCTCTAATTTGCACTTGCTCAATCCTAAACCATCCTGTGGGCAGAGGTTTCGAAAAAGTTCCAAAATAAAACATGTATTGCAAGATCTTTCGCTCAATAACATTTTGTAACAAAACAAGTTACCTTAATCAGGGTCTACCATCACCGATAGATGATTAGAAAAAATATTTACGGCAGAAAATAAATGAGAAGTCATTTTACTTTATTGGGTAGTTTAAAAATGTTTTGCAATTTTCAACACTTTTAAACTGTTTTAAAGGGATCATGCCCGATAACCACTGTATCCTGCTGCAATGGTTATGGTGCCAGGTCATTTCCTCAAGAAGCAGATCCAGGATTGCGCTCAGCTGACATGCTCAGCCAATGAGTGAATTCTGCATTGCAGTGGAGTAGCTAGACCTTTTGCCACCAGGGGTGGTCCCTGAGTTTGCTGCCCCTCCATCACTAAGGTGCAGCCATGCCATAAGGAATACTGGGAGCAGGGATATAACATGATTCATATCCCAGTCCCCACCACCTAGCCTGCGGCATGCTCCAGAACCGGTGGAACGGACAGAGGAGCTGGCGGAGCTCTGCCACGTTATATGAACTGACCATCGGGAGATGAGCGCTATGTGGTTCCCTTCCTCCCAGTCAATTGGACATTGAGCCCCTTGGGTGCTAATAAGGGCTGGACAAAGTGTTATTTATCACCCCTGTGCACTGACAAGCGCTATCCACAGCCACTGTATCAGGAGGAACGTGTCGATTCACACTTTAACCGAGGGGCAGATCCAGAACCCAATCTCGGGAGGGGCACTGAATGCTTAAAATTGGTGTGCGTGTATATATATATATCGGCATTTCGACCCATTTGGGTCTTTCTCAAGATGTTGATATGCAACTGAATTAAACACAGTTATTGAAAAAAAGTCCTACAAGTGCACCCTTTTGTCTATTCGACATATATCAACTTGGGTTTGCACCAAGGCAAGGTGGACTTGTACATTGATGTTACTGCAAATTAAAATGCGAATTCAAATTTAAGCTAAACATTTGAAGACATTTTTTAACGGCACTATTGCCACAGCTTGGATATTTTAGCCTTAATTTTGCAATTCTGCTTTTAATTTACTAGAAATCAGAATTTAGTAAAGACCCTGTGTGTGTGTTTGCATTTCTGCAGGGCTCATTAATATACTTATTGTTACTGAGTTCTTGGAGGGGCCTGCTTGACAGCCTCCTGCCCACAGACTATTGGCCCTGCAGGAAACCTGTAAAAGACTACCGAACTTGACCGATTGTTAGCACTGATTTCCCTGGAACTGTTTTGGGCATGATGCCATGCTTGTGGTCAGTCAAAACTATGACTTCCAGGAAATTCCTGAACCCCTGAACCGATCTGGGTGATTTTTGGATATGTTGTTCACCCAGATCGGGGCTATCAGGGAATGTGACTATGTGGTTTTGTGTGTTTTTAAGGTACTTTTTGGGGTTTCATAATATTGTGTATTTTTTTTCTGTGCTTGGTACTAGAACAGGATTATTTTTGCCTATTGCAAAGGGTAACGCCGCCTGTCTCTGACATGATGGGGCTTATTGATGGTATACCACCGGGAGCGTTGAATTTTATCCCTTTTATGTCGGTGGGTCTCCAGTTCTGTTTCAGCTTATGGAGGTCTCTTGTGGTCCAGGGTGCTCTCCTCTCTTTTTATGGACAGAAATACTCTCCAAAGCATACATTTTAGTAAAAAACTGTAATATCCAGCTGTTCCTCAAGAAGACTGCCACTAAGAACATGGAGCAGTTGGGCCTCAAAAAATCTTGGATTCTGGCTAGTTCACTTAATGTTTTTGACTCAACTAGACCCTGCCACATCTTCATACAACAAAAGGTTTTAAAACTTTTATAAATTTATCATATATAATAACAAAACTACCACATATTTTTATCTTGGCGAACTGATTATCTGGTCGTACAACAGATTATCCAGTTCAACAGATTATTCTCAGTTCAAGTTTAGCTTCATATTTATTCAACATGTATAATTTATTATAAAAAAAAGTATTTCTTCCCTTTCCTCCTTACTTTCTATTTTATATACATGCATTTTAGATATTTTTGTTGCTTAACGTCTCTTAAGGGCTTAATTTGCTTTGTATTACTTTATATCAATCACTATGCACAACCATTATTCATTTCAGGTTTTGCCATATGGGACTTCCTTACAGAGGAATTCATTATGTATTATTATATTTCTGCACACGGTATCTTACAAAATTAGATTTTCCCTCTGGAGGACACTTAACATGAGGAACTCTAGCTTTACATTCAAGTGTTATGATCATGTGATAATAATTTCAAGGAATAATTGTCCCAAACCTCTAATTGTTTTCATGTTTTATGAGCTTAATTGTTTTGTTTAATTTGATCTTTTCTAACTTTGGTCTCAATTTAATATTGTTGGGTAAGCTTTTCTAATAATTTGGATGTTGATATTATGTATCTATTTTGTAGTGCCCTAATTGGCACATTTATGCACCCTTTTGGTTTGACTGATTCATTTCCAGAATCAGTTTTTCATTACAGAAATTACGCTAAGCCATACCAACATATGGACAAATATCGGAAGTAATAATTTTATTTGATTTTTGGAAAAAATGGTTTCACAAAAACAAAGTTTATCAACATCCTACTATCGAGGCTGTTCCTGCGTATTGCTGTGTTCTGTTTGTTACTTATGCTATACTGTTCCCATATTTTATGTATCTGTATTATTATTACTATACATGCATATATTTATATTTTAGGGACTAAAAACTGTGTTTTAAAATGTTCATGTGGAAAAAGCATATTTGCTCTCCTTTCTTCACTTTTCTGGTCCCCCTAACCTTTGCTCCTGCCAACAGTATATTCAGAAATTGTTGGTGTCTCCTTTCATTTCACTCTAAGTCTGCACCCCATCTCTCCTGTGAAATACACTAAATCGTATTGTCTTCATTCTTCCATTATAGCATGATTCTTCAAGTTCTTGAAATCCTTCCAAATTACCATTTTTAACTGCTTCATAACCTGACGGTTCTTCCAATTGCCCATAAAATTCTCTAGTCGTTGACTTCTGTTCCCTTTTCTCTCAACTCACTGTTATAACATTTAGATTGTAAACTCATATAAAAACAAATAGATTTTTCTATATTGTACTCTTGGTTATTTGCCTAGATTTACAGTGCTTTATAAATAATAATAATAACAACGGTCAACTGAAAGCCAGTATTGAACAGTAATTAATCTAACACAAACATAACTGCACTTCTTTGCTGTAGAGAATACCGTTAACATCTTTGGAGATCTACTGTTTTGATTAATTTTCCCTATGATCTTGGTTTAGCAGCATACTAAATAAATACAGCCATTAAGGTAGCTCTCCTGCATTATACCTGAACAGTTAATTTTGTATTCAGCTTGGTGGCTTACAATTATTTTTTAAAGTTACGTTTAAGGGGACACTATAGTCACAAAACAGCTTCAGCTTAATGAAGCAGTTTTGGTGTATAAATCATGCCCTTGCACTATCACTGCATAATTCTCTGCTTAAATAACTTTGTTGGTACATCCCTATTAACATCCCCTTGCATGTGACTTGCACAGCCTTCCTAAACACTTCCTGTAAAGCGGCATCTAATGTTTACACTTCCTTTATTGCAAATTCTGTTTAATTTAGAACGTTTTATCGCCTGCTCTGTTAATAGCTTGCTAGACACTGCAGGAACCTTCTGTATGTAATTAAAGTTAAATGTACAGAAGTAAGTAACATCATATTGAAAATTAACACATTTTGTTTTCATGCAGGTTGTGTCAGTCACAGCCAGTGTTTGTGCTAGGGCTGCATGTACAGAAACAAAAGTGATTAAACTCCTAAATTTCAGAGAATTTAGCAATGAGACTTCAAAGGCATGACCTATACATTAAAAATTGCTTTATTAAGCCACATATCTTTTGGTGACTATAATATCACTTTAAAGTTATTTTATATTTTTCTAGATGTCTCTTTTTGTGGGACTAGGTATCCTACAGATACCCATGAAGTTATACGAGAGAACTGCTAAAAGAACATCCAAGCACCATAACCTCAACAGCATGCTGAAAACGTTATGGTGCCAGAAGTGTCCTGGTGCCCCTCTCAAGCTGTTTGCTAATGGTGTGACTTCTAACCTGGTTCGGACTTCTAACCTTGGGTCCACTAGGCACTGTTTCCTGCTTCAATGCTTCAATGGGACCTAAAAGCTCTCAGCTTTTGGCTAAGCCCAGCAGTTCAATACATTGGTTGTGATAGATTAGCTGAATCTCCTAGCCAATGAGCTGGCCCTGCACCTCAGGGATTAGTTAATGAGAGCTCATGGAAGCTTCTAGTAGGAAATCCAACTCTCAATACCAGAGGAAAAGAGGCACCAGGTGAATCCCAGTAAAAATTCAACCATTAGCAAACATTTTGACTGCTTACAGTGGGGGCCTATTTTACAGAGACAATTCAATTAAACGCAGCATACTTTTTAAAACATGTGTATGCATCACATACAGGAGCAGACTGGCCAATCAGGGCCATTGGTCATGGACTGGGAGCCTGAGGCAGTCAGCGGCCCCCAATGGCACTCTGCAAGTTGCTCCCCACCGTGAGTAAGACTTGACAGTGGTCTTGCTTTTCTTGTCAGGCGTCCTCGTTGATATCCCTTTGTTGCCATGCTCTCTCCTCTTATGTAGATCACTCTTTTGGACTGTAAGCATTATGAGAGGAGTAGCAGCCTGGCAGAGATACCAGGTAAGAAGATTGAAAATTATTTAGAAAGGAAAATTAGGGCTAATGGAAAAACATGGATTGGAGGTGAAAAGGGCAGAGGCACATGTGGGATGCATGGGGTGAAATCGGACTGAGGCATGCAGGTTGTAATAGAAAGACATGTACGGTTGAAGGGGAGAAGCACAAAATTAAGGGACTGGGTTAGAAAATTGTGCCAATGATGGCAGAGAAGTGTGGATGGAGAATATTCAGGGTAGAGTCTGCAACAGCTGCATTTGGCAATTAGTACTTTCCATATAAGTCTAGACATATCATTCATGACTCCATTGACCCCAGCTTCAGAACATGCGCCTTTCGCCCGAAAAGAACCAATGTGACATTGCTGGAGGCAGATCAAGTGCCTGCATGGATTCTATATTGGCGCTGGAAAAGGTAAGTAATACTCCTTTTCCATTTCTTATTTAGATTATGTAGGTGCTAGGGGTGGGCCACTTAATTTAACCCAGTCCTCAAGTATCCTCAAGTAACAATCCAGGATTTAGGGATTACCCAGTTATGTCTAAGGTGTTTTTAGAAAGAAAGAAAGAAAGAAAGAAACACTTTCGACACTACAGGGTACTCCCTAAATCCTGGCCTGCCATGTGATACTTGAGGACTGGGTTTGGATTTCCTGGTCTAAGGAATGCAAGTTTGTATTCTTACCACTATAGTGTTCCTTTAATGTTTATGGGGCCCTGAGCAAAAGTGAAAAGAAAGTCCTGCATGATTACTTTCTAAAAAAATATGCAAAGTATTTCACATAGTTTTGCTATCATACAACCTTTCAACAATGAATACAGTTATTATATGCTTCAGGAGCACTGCTTTATCTAAAATGAAATATGGCTGGATCCAGTCACCTGTTATCACATTGCTTACATTTCACAGAAACTATACTCTCTTTAGTCCAGACAGTCACTATCTCTTTCTTATATGCAAGGTTCAAAGTAAAGCACAATTTCTGGGAGGTCTGTGATAAATGTGTCAATATATGAAAAGCCTTTTAAAATTTCAAAGGGATACAATAAGATATAAATAATTAAATATGGTGTGTATGAATGCAAAGAAAACATTGCACTGTGAATTTTAAGAAAAATTAAACAATTCTATATTGATTTTATCATTAAAAAACATGAGAACATCTTACAGTGCAGGTAATTAAAGCTAACTACTGCTTAATTTGTTTCCTTTGCAAAGTCATGAGACAGATAGAATTCAAAGTCATGAGACAGATAGAATTCAAAGCTGAGTTGTGATATAGGGGTTAAAGCGACATGAGTGCAGATAAGACACAAGTTTGATAGAAAATAGACACCAATCTCACACAGGGTCGTAAATATATTGTGATCTTCCCACAAGATATTTACGACAAATTCTATATGTTGCCTTTGCTCAAAAATGCTTTAGACTTGAGAAAGGGTGGTGCTCCCAAAAGCTTGTCATTACAACATTATGTTAGTTCAATAAAAAAGGTGCAATATTATTATTATTATTATTGCCATTTATATAGCGCCAACAGATTCCGTAGCGCTTTACAATATTATGAGAGGGGATTTAACTATAAATAGGACAATTACAAATAAACTTACAGGAACAATAGGTTGAAGAGGACCCTGCTCAATCGAGCTTACATTCTATAGGAAGTGGGGTGTAAAACACAGTAGGACAGGAATTTGCAATCAATTAAGGTGGGCTGCCCTTTAGGAGAGGGCAAGAGACAGGTATGTGAGGTAGGGGTTAGTCTTGGAGGCCATAAGCTTTCCTAAAGAGATGAGTTTTTAGGCACTTCTTAAAAGATGCAAGACTAGGGGAGAGTCTGATGGTGGGAGGCAGGCTATTCCATAGGAAGGGAGCCGCCCGCGAGAAGTCCTGCAAGCGCGAGTTGGCCGTACGGGTGGGCAGAGCGCAGAGACCGAGAAGGGACATACCTATGTATCTGTGAGGAGATATAAGAGGGGCTAGAGTTGTTCAGTGCTTTATAGGTGTGAGTTAGTGCCTTGAATTGACTCCTATAGCACACAGGAAGCCAATGACTGGCAGAGGGGTGAGGTGTGAGAGAACCGGCTAGAGAGGAAAATCAGTCTAGCAGCAGCGTTCATTACAGACTGTAGGGGTGCAGTACAGCTTTTGGGAAGACCAAGCAGGAGAGGGTTACAATAATCCATGCAGGAAATTACTAGAGCATGGACAAGCTCCTTGGTAGTATCTGGTGCAAGAAAGGGGCGGATGCGGGCTATGTTTTTAAGATGGAATCTACAGGATTTGGCAACATGCTGGATGTGAGGCTCCAAGGTGAGACCAGAGTCAAGTATGACGCCAAGACAGCGCGCTTGCAAGGATGGGCTGATGTTGGTACCACAAACTTGAAGGGAGAGCGAAAGAGGAGGATCAGTATTATGAGGAGGAAAGACAAGGAGCTCAGTTTTTGAGAGATTGAGTTTCAGAAAGCGGGAGGACATCCATTCAGAGATGGAAGAAAAGCAAGCAGTGACACGTTGCAGGACAGCAGGGAAGAGGTCCGGGGAGGAGAGATATAGCTGGGTGTCATCAGCGTACAGGTGGTAGTGGAATCCAAATGAGGTAATAAGTTTGCCAAGAGAGGCAGTATAAAGAGAAAATAGAAGGGGACCAAGAACGGAGCCTTGGGGGACTCCAACCGAGACAGGGCGAGGGGAGGAGGTATCATTAGAAAAAGAGACACTGAATGAGCGTTGGGAGAGATAAGAGGAAAACCATGAGAGGACAGAGTCACAGAGACCAAGCGATTGCAGAGTTTGAAGAAGGAGAGCATGATCAACGGTGTCAAAGGCCGCTGAGAGGTCAAGAAGAATTAGTATGGAGTAGTGGCCTTTGGATTTAGCTGCGATTAGGTCGTTAGTAACTTTGATAAGGGCAGTCTCTGTAGAGTGGAGAGGGCGGAAGCCAGATTGAAGGGGGTCAAGGAGAGAGTTGGAATTGAGGAAATGAGACACACGGGTAAAGACAAGTCTTTCCAGAAGCTTTGAGGAAAAAGGGAGCAGGGATATGGGACGGTAGTTAGAGGAGGTGGACGGGTCGAGGGATGTTTTTTTTAGTATAGGTACTACAGTGGCATGTTTAAGGTCAGCAGGGACGATGCCAGAAGAGAGCGAGCAGTTGAAGATGTGTGTTAGAGAAGGCACGAGACAAGTGGAGAGAGATCTGATAAGGTGAGATGGGACAGGATCGAGGGGGCAATATGAATTTTATCTGTTTTTTACATATATTTTATAAATATACAATAAACAATATATATATATATATATATATATATATATATATATAGTGTTCAAGTAGAGATTGTAGCCGTATTAGTCCAGTGATGTAGATGTAAAAAACAGATAAAATTTGTATCTTGTAATACCTTTTTTTATTGGACTAACAGAATTTTTTAATGACAAGCTTTCGGGAGAACCTCCCTTTCTCAAGTCTTGAGACTTGAGAAAGGGAGGTTCTCCCGAAAGCTTGTCAGTAAAAGACTTGAGAAAGGGAGGTTCTCCCGAAAGCTTGTCATTAAAAAATTCTGTTAGTCCATATACACAACTGGGAGAAATCAGGTCCAGGCAAGAGTTTTTTGGAATTGTCTCCAACCCACTGCTCAGCTGCAGATAATCAGCTGTAGCAGTGGGAATAAACCCCTCCCTGCTATGCAGGTAAAGGGGAGATTGCTGGCTTCCTCCCTGGAAGCAGGTTGGAGCGACGCTGTTCTCTCCTGTGAGAGAGTCAAGGAGACTGAGCACTGGGAGTGCAAAAGGAAAGCAGTCAAGGCTGGCTTGGAGCACTGGGAGTGCGGAAAAGAGAGAGAATTCTGTTTATTTCTAGAAGGAATGGAAGCCACATGTTAACCGAGTGTGGAGTGCAGAGATCTAGGTTGGTGAACCCAAACATTATTTTGTTCTAGTTTAACCCCTGAGAGAGAGGGAATCTGATGTTAGTTAGTGCTCAGACGAGCTAGGCTTTTGTTTATAGGGATTTGTGTTATTGTTGGTTTTTTTTTTCCATTTGCTGCTGTAACTGTGGTGGAGTTTAACAATAAAGCTGCCTGGATTACATGAAAACCAAAGGACTGTGCCTGTTGTTTACCCTAGAGGACCGTGCTATCTGCAGACAAGGATCACAATATGGTGGAGAATGCGGGCACTGTAGCACATTGAGGGTCTGTAGGCAACCGCTATACAGCAAGGCACAAACCGTTTACTGACTGCACAGGTTAAGAACCTGAGGGACGCTCAGCAGGAGAATAGAGCTGCCCTTACTGAGGTTTTGAAGATTGCCCCCTGCAGGGAGCATGGGGACAAGGGACCTCGTAACCAAGCTACTGACATCCTGCATAAGATGACAGAGGCAGTAGAAGAAGTCTTTAGCAAGCTGAAAAGCATGGAGGAAGCAAAGCGTGATGTTGAAAAACACGCAGGAGAAAGAATGACTGTGACTGAGGCCAGCAGTGTCAAGTCAGTTTGTGCTATAAAGAATGAGACAAGTAAAGCTAGTGAATACAGCCAGGGAAAGAAAAATGAAACAGAAGCCCTTAATGTACACCCACGTGAACAAGTCAAAGGCATGAAAAGCAGACTGACTTGGGGAGTCAGAGAAGACAACCGTAAAGGAGCTGAGCTTAACAGAGAGAAGCAAAGCACCCCAGTTGAGTATAGCAATGCGGTGCACTGTTTAGTAGTCGAAGCTACCCAAGAATGTCGACCAGCTGTTGAGCAGTTTGGCAGAGAAAAGCAAGGCAGAGAAGCTGTGGCAAAATGAAGTCAAAAAAAGAAAGGCAAAGTAGCCGCTTCTGATCTAAGCCAAGAGAGAGTGACAGTTACAGAACTAAGCTGTGGTGATAAGATAGGCACGTCCGCACCTAAGCCCGACCAAGGCGAAAGTTACAAAGTAGATGACATTGGCGTAGCAGAACGAAATATTTCCGAGACACCTGGTATTGTTACAAAGACTTTGAATGATTGTCCGGGAGCCGTAGAACTGGATCTGCTGGCAAAGACAACTGCTGCAAGGCCTGGGCGCACTGACTACCTGGAACAGCTGCCAGATTCTGGGAACCCAGTCATGGAATTAAAGGCGGGGCTCAGACTTCCTGACCGGCTGTTTGATACCAGGGCTGTCATGACCCAGCGAGAGGCCATGACGGCGTCTCTGGACACCCCTGAGGGAGCAGGGAGACCGCCAGACAGCCCAGAGGAAAGCATTGCTGACATTGAGAGGTGGCCACTCAAGGCCGAGCAAGCAGAGGATACCCCTGGGGAGGAAACCAGGCAAAGGAAAGATGAGCTAAGCCGGGAGTCTGGGCCTCCAGCACAAGAACAGCGCTCCATACGAGACCAGACTGAGAAACTCAAATGCTTCAACTGCCACATGCAAGGACATATTGCATATAACTGTCCTGAGAATAAAGAGCCAATACAATGTGACATAGGAATAAGGGCTCTGCATAGGATTGTATTGACCTTCTTAAAGATGTGACTGGTGGTGGTGTTACAGCACAGCTAAAAGTGGTGATGGTGGTAGGGAAGAGTGCACAAGCACTGTAACTGAGTGAGGTTACTTTGATGAAAAGTATTTTGTTCCAACCAGAGTATGCAGCTACCTACCTTGATGTGGTGTTTCACAGGGTTGTAACTGAGGAGCAAGTCAGGGCTGGTACATCCCTAGGTGACGTGAATGTTCACGGTATGTGTTCTAAGGCCGCTCGCTCGGATGGGTCTGAGCTGGGGAGGAGGATATGTGATAAAGTGAAGGTAGAGAGGCCTTTAACATTTAACCCCAGTGGAAGTACGTGTTGTATGTGTGGTGTGCAACACAAAGCTAGGTTTAGTTATGGGCCCCTGGGGTGGAGCATTTGGAGAGCAGGGTGGGCCAATGCTCCACTCCTCAGTTTATACACAACTGGGAGAAATCAGGTCCAGGCAAGAGTTTTTTGGAACTGTCTCCAACCCACTGCTCAGCTGCAGATAATCAGCTGTAGCAGTGGGAATAAACCCCTCCCTGCTATGCAGGTAAAGGGGAGATTGCTGGCTTCCTCCCTGGAAGCAGGTTGGAGAGAGGCTATTCTCTCCAGTGAGAGTGTCAAGGAGACTGAGCACTGGGAGTGCAAAAGGAAAGCAGTCAAGGCTGGCTTGGAGCACTGGGAGTGCAAAAAGAGAGAGAATACTGTTTATTTCTAGAAGGAATGGAAGCCACATGCTAACCGAGTGTGGAGTGCAGAGATCTGACAAAGGCACTAGGTTGGTGAACCCAAATATTATTTTGTTCTAGTTTAACCCCTGAGAGAGCGGGAATCTGATGTTAGTTAGTGTTCAGACGAGCTAGGCTTTTGTTTATAGGGATTTGTGTTATTGTTGTTTTTTTCATTTGCTGCTGTAACTGTGGTGGAGTTTAACAATAAAACTGCCTGGATAACATGAAAACCAAAGGACTGTGCCTGTTGTTTACCCGGCAGACAAGGATCACAATATATATATATATATATATATATATATATATATATATAATATATACATTTTTAACTGCTCTTTCTTATTTTTCCATGTATTGGTTGCTTTTTCTTGCTTGTACCTATTGATGCACTGAAAATATATACCTAATTATACATATATTTTGTAGCCCACTGAGTGGCCTTTTTTAGCCTTTTGGTTTGTCCCATAACTTTCTTTGTTAATGAAATTCATTCACAAAATAAAGTAAGAAACGTATATATTTTTTTCACTCTGTTTTGTGAATGGGGAGCTACTGATAGGCTGAGAGTGTCAGCTGGTGCTCTCAGACTATCTGCCCAAGGCTTCCTGATTGAAGTCTCGGATCCAAATGGAATTTCGGAGGCAGAGCTGACTAGTGCTGGACTGAAGAGTTTGAGCTAAATGTTTTACTAATGGTTTAACCCCTAAAAGAAAGTTGCCACCAGGGACCTCCTGACACCATAATGACTTAATTCCGATGAAGTTGATATATTTCTCGGAACGTCCCTTTGAGAGTAATATGGGAAAAGTCCCGATTAAAATCGTAACTATTAAACAAATTTCTTTCTTGGTACTGGGAACCATTTAACCAGTTTCAGACTTATCTGGAAGGGTTAATGCTGAAATAGCCAGTTTAGGTTTTATGGAGGCCTGAATGTGTGATAAAATATTGCTGCTTTATGCATAATATATAAAATGGCAATTATTTCTCTCTAATATATAAAAGCTTCATTTTCATATTCCATTTTCGTAATTGTTTATGCATTAAACAACGTGAACTTAGAGACTCTATAGGCACCGAGACCACTTCATCTCATTGAAGTGGTCTGGGTGCAGTGCCTTTGTCTATTCAACCCATCAATGTACAACATTGCAATTTCTGAGAAACTGTAGTGATTAAATTGCCAGGTTAACTCCACCTACAAAGAGCCACTAGAGGCGCTTCCGGTTCCCTAGTTACTCTGCTATACGACATTGGACCTCCTCAAGCTTTGCATGAGGACATCTAACATCTTCTATTTTCCCCACAGGAAAGCATTGATTTACTGTTTTCCTATGGGGAAGCTTGAATGCACATATGGCACCTTCTGGCTTACGCCTTAGGACTCACCAATGCCATGACATCGCGGTGGAGGAGAACTAGCCTTGTGATTGGTTAGCAGTAAGGTAAAAAAAGAGACAGGAAGACTATAGCCCTAGAAATACAAATTTGTATTCCTAATGCTAAAGTGTTCATTTAAAGTTCAATATATCAACTCCAGCTTAGATTGTTGACTAGTTGATCTTCAACACTCCAATGTAATATATATATATGAATATGGGCAGAGAAACTATTTTGTAAAATAAGTTCACTTTTACAGTACATTTATAAACTCATACACAAAAATAGCATAAGATACATATAATGGATAAAAATACGTAAAGATACATAGAAATAATAATTCCAAAGATATGAGATTTTTTTTTTTTTATCCTTTTCTCCATGGTTGGCTGTGACATGCAGGTAAGTATTGCAGATATCAATATTAGGGATTTCCTTCCTCGTTTGAGTTCAGCCATTCATCAAGTGTAAAGTGAAAATATCAATGCATATATAAATGATAAAACAATCATGTCTCAAGTATAGTATCAACCTATTTTAAAATTATTTTTATTAACTGCAAAACCATGCGTGCCAAATTAAAAATAATTATAGCAGTGTTTTAGGGGGACTGGTTTAAAGCATTCTGTACCTGCAGCTTGACAAAGTAGTGTGGTGACTGCGTGTTGCGCATACAGCATTGGTTTGTATTTAATTACTATAAGTAAGCTTCAAATAGCTTGTAGCTGTGGCCGACTCCGGCCAGGAGGGTATATAAAAGGATCTGATCTTAGGCTGAACGCGTAATGAAATGTGCACTTCAGTAAAGGGGAACTTGACACGTTCAAATGTGACTTGATGAGGGGTTAAAAGCTCGACTAATGTGCAAGCCAAAATCTTACGGAGCCAGGGTGTATGGGAAATCTAATGCATAACACATAAACTATAAAGAATACAACAATAATATATTTGACAATGATATCTGCTGCCCTAGGCATCAGGTAGGAGAGTCCGTACTCCCTGGTGGTGCTCTTCTGGGCACAAATGGATTAATTCTCTCCATCGTCTAAGATGGTTGTATGTCCTTCCTAACGGTCTCAATTGGTAGATCTAGGGACTGGAGGAATGTTGTTGCCTCTGAAACGTGCAGCAAGAGATGCATCTTGTCGTTATTTTCCGCCATCAGTCGGTGCAGACCCCACTTGAATTTGATGGCATGATCTCGTAGTAATTGTGTAATAGGTCCAGATGACCTCCGCCATGTGAGGGTACTTCTAGAAAAGTCTCTATAAAAGACCAGGTGTGCTCTCTCAAAGGGTACTGTGGGAGAGCCTTTAACAGCACTCATGAGGGCCCCTCGATCAGCGTCACATACAAACTTTGGCGGCAATAGTGTGGCAATAAGTCTCCTGCAGTAATAGGGTAATTCAGCATTTGAGATGGCATCAGGAACGCCACGTATTCTTACATGCGTGCTTTAGCACAATCTTCTATGCTAGCCAGTTGTGCTGTCAGGTCATCACATTTCTTCTGTAATGAACCTAGAGCAGCATCTGTGGCAGATTGTGCTAGTTTGGTGCTTCCCATGTCTCCCTCCACCGCATCCACTCTGCTAGGGAATATGGTAACTCCCTCCCGGACTGCCATATCTGCGTGAAACATGACTTTGATATCCGGGCTCAATGCCTGTATGTCTGTAGACACCCTCCTACAAAGATGCCCGAGGCACAGAGCGTACCTGGGATGAAATAGGAGGTAGACCGTCCGACGATGGAGAGGAGTAGGCTCCAGCCGTCGCCATCTTGGAAGGTACAGGTAGCACGGTCGGATGCATAAATGCTCCAAAATCTCTGGAGCCTGAGCGCAGATCTACTCTGTATTTTTAACTCTTCTTCATCATTTGTTAAGGAGTCTAAGGACCCTTTTAGTTAGTGGCTGGAGAAAGCTGCGTTAATCGGAACAAGCTATTGGATCTGCACAGAGACCCCCCCCCTTTGCATTTTTCTTTTAATCCAGGAGTACAGTAACTATTTTACCTCTATCCTGCTGCATGAAGAAATGTTAAAATGGAGATATCCTGAGTAAATTAATATTCAGTGCAGTTTTGTGCAAATATTACTTGGCGTTTTCTCTGTAGAAAACAAGTAGAAATGTTATGATGTTCCACACTGATTTTCACTTGATATTAATAATAAGCAATTTTAATCATTACTAATTTTATCAGCACCCCATCACTTATGTTGCAATTCTTTTGTTTTTGTTGGCAGAAAATTTGTGTAGGAGGTTTTTTCTCTACTTTTGTTCACCATCTATGTCTGTCTGTATGTATTTCTGTGTGTCTGTCTGTCTGGGTTCTATACAGAAATTTTATAGCAAGACTTGTTAAAAAAAAAACAAAAAAACCCTTTTAAAAGATTTTTATTTTACAATATTACTTTAATAAATAAGCAAATATTTGACAGAATGTCAAGCCTTTCCATGGTTTAACCAAAGATTTTTGTTGTTCTTGAAAACAAATAAAAACATTAAAAAGGTACCTTTAATGTTGTACACTTTAGTAAATACAGATAGACCATGGAATTCGAGAACTCTAAAAGCTTTGGTCTCTGTGATATCATAACACCATAGATTCACAGTTCTCATGCCCCAACAGACCAGGCTAATTTAAATTGATAACATAATCATTAAAAGGAGATAACGCATACATAAACATTTATTAGTGATCGGAGGACCACCCACTAAGCAATACCTTCAGACACTTAAAAAACACAGCTAATCAGATGCACAGACTTGGGATGAAAGTTACACATTCTTAATGTGTCCGCAACACTAAGGGAAAAGTGCAGACTAAAAGATGGTTTTAGTTATAAATGTAGTTTTGTGGGTGTATTATATAGATACCCTACTGCGTTATCTGTATTTAAAAATAGATGGTGTTCTTGCTTGATGTTACATTATGGAGCCTATGACTACATTACTGAGGCATTGAAACTGCATATGCAATACAATCCATTGGCAATTAAAGGAACACTGTAGGCCCTTTACAATTTCATCTTATTAAAGATGTTATACTGCCTTCAGTACTGGCCACCCTGTCCTACACCCAATATTCAATATTAAAGTAATAAGAAGGCTTGGAAATGCGGCTTCAAGCCACACCCCCAAGCCCTATGGGTATGAGTGCCGGGAATCTTACTTCCTGACATTTATACCATAACATACAGTGACGTAATATGCGCACACGCAGTGCCGTCATGGTCACCATATAGAAGGTATGATTAAAGAGCAAGCTCCATGCATGTTCCTTTATAAGGAGCAATGGAATGGATTTGCTCATCATCCTAGAGGCATGCCTTCAGGATGGCGTAACCTTAGAATTAAGTCTCAGCAGCGCCAAAGGAGACTTAGGACTGGAGGTGAGTAAAAAGTAGTTTACTTTTAATTAATATCAAGTTTTTTTTTGTTTGTTTTTTAAACAGTTTTGGGTGGCAAAGGGCAACAGGGCTGTAGCTTATTCCTAATTGTTCATTTAATTAAATAAAATTAACCTTCTTGACACGAGTTTAAAAAAGTTTTCTCATCTCACAATTCCTAAAGCCAGGTTTTAAGCATATCCACATCATGATACAATTGTTTAATTTTATGGATGAACCCGAATTATTAAAAACCCTATTCTTGATATTTCTAATATGATCATTTATTCTAATATTAAATGGTCTTGTGGACCTGCCAACATACTGTAAACCACATTTGCACATTAGAAGGTATATCACATGGCTTGTATTACACATAATAAATGAGTTAATCTCATATTCCTTTTTAGTAATTGGTTAACCAAGGAGTAAAATGATAACTACGCTGGTCTATATAACTATTAATAACTACCTTTTTAAAATAAGTACTCATTTTTATGGTGCCAGACTCTATAAAATTTTTAAATCTACAGAACGAACTTCTGAGTCACTAATTTCAGTAGTTGATTTTATAACCTAGGAGTTATAATTTAAAAATATGTAAGAAATTGGTCTGGCGAGGCACAGTCCCTCTCCATATAAAAAAAAAACCCAAACAACCACCTTCACAGTCCAGTCATGACCTGAATAAATAAAAGATCATTCCCAATATGCCATAAAAAGGCTCTCATAACTTGGCCCTGTGAACTTGGTCCCCCTGGTTGTGCCTAGCTTCTGCAAATAAAAGTCACCTTTTTGTATGGGTTTGGAGTTTCTAAAAAAACACCCTCCTACCGAACGTAATGGCTTATATCTATTTCTATGGAAAAAATGGCCAATCATTGAAAGCTCTGTCTGTATTTAACATGAAATTGGTTGGTTGTTCTGCTATAATTTGTAGGTCTATGTTTCCTGTTTGGTCGCATTTCGGAAGGAGTGACATCTTGTTTTCTCATCCTTTCTCTCCTTACTTCAGTCCTTTTTACCTCCTTATCTCTCATTATGTATTACAACTGTCTTGCCTACTTACTTCCATACTCTCTTTGTTGACTTCTGGACTAATACGAGTGGAAAAGAAAAAAAAAACTACCAGTAGGTGTCTCTTAACTTTATATGGAGTAACAATCTAGCTAGATATTGTCACAGTTGCAGATTAACCTTAAAACATAATTTTGAATTAGTATATTCAAATATATGGAAAGAAAAGAATAATAAAAGCAAAAAGCACAAAGATAAATGTTAGTCCAGTATAGGTAATCTTGCTACAACTGGCACAGAACCCTCAAATTGCAAATATAGCAGAGAGAGTAGAGTGAGAAAAAGATCCTACTAAATCTAAATGTTCCTATTACTACATAAATTTGCAGTAAAGATGCACAAAAAGGAGCGCAGAGCACATAAATACACTAGACTCTCCTGCAGTCAAGAGTCTGATCAATGTGAGAAGAATGGCTCTTATTCACAAAATTAAAGTATCTAAGCAGAATACCGCAAAAAAGTGTGAAAAAAATAAGACAATAATTGTCAAAATAAGGTGCCAGTGACTTTATTTTGACAATTATTGTCTTATTTTCGACAAAGTTTCTTCGAGTAGTTTCGTTACACCACAACTGACTTTTAGCATAACCGAATTGCTGTATTAATACTTACTTTCATTTTAATATTGTATCTACTTCTGGTTCCCAACCACAAATATATATACAGTAGTTTTAGATACTTTTAAAACCTGTACTGCTGTACTGCATGGATGGTGATATCAGATGTGTAATTATTTCCCTTAATGAATGTGCAATAATGCATGGATCAATTCAAGTGCCCTAATCTCAGATTCTGTTCTGCCTAAAATCAGTGGGATCTACACTCCTGTTTAGGAATAAAGTCCTACCCTTATCCTTAAACTTCACTAAACATTATCCCCTACGCTACATTACACTATCACTAAATAATACGTTATACACTACATTAAATGAACTATTAACTTCTGCACTAACAGTAATCCCTAACCCCTGCACTACCTAAACACTTACCCTTAAATACTATACTACATTTACACTAACAATTAACAACCTACACTACCTAAACACCTAGTTCTAGCCCTAATACAAAAAATACATAACAGCAAAGTGTATCGGGGGATAATATTATTATTTCAAGATCTGTAGACATTTAGAAACTTCTCAAACTTTGGTCTCATGTTTTATTATGATTTCTCCAAAACTCTTCAATGACACTGACATATGACATATTTCCATACAGACGAATGTTATGCATTCTCTCTCCTTCCTTCTCTTTCACCTTCTCTCTCTCTCTGACTTTCTTTCTTTCAATCTTTCTCTATTTATACATATATATGCATATATTTGTGGAAATATATTTTCTGCATGTTTGTTATGTTTGTTCTAACCTCAAAATATTCAGCAGAAGGTAGGAATTTTTGTTTTAGGCTTGTGGTCACTTTTGTCAGCTGAATTGCTTTGAAGCATAAATCTAAATTTGGTACAAGGTTCCTCCTTGCAATTTATATCTTTATGAGTTTTTCTAAAGATTCTTGGACTTGTTTATTCTTTTGAATTCTTAAGGGATACCATTTAAATTGAGTAATTTATTTAGATAAATCACCAGTAATCCATAAGTGAATAACATGTATGTGTAGTACTGTTTTGTACTGTGTGCTGGATTTTATACTTATTAGTTTTTACTTGCCAGTTGTTATGTCATTACAGAATTAGTAAAAAAAAAAAAAAACATTCATGAGTGACAATATGCCAAAAAACTAAACAAAATAAATTTTCATTAATCATATTTCGGAGAATAGCGGACAGAAAGACGTCTAATTTTACTTAGTGAATACATAGGAGAGGGAGTATGGAGTAAAATCTGGAAATCATAATATAGTTAAAAAAAAATGGCTTGGTAACTACCAACAAACCATTAATTATTTTCTTTTTTAAATTTAAGTTTATTAGTTCATCATTTATAAACCGTATAATGTAGATTCATCTAAAATTGATGTCCCTAATGAGATTTGGGAATAATGCTTTAAACCCAGAACCAATCAACAAGTAAATACCAGACTTTAAGCCTGGACCTATTGAGTGCCATGGTAGTTTTCATTTTTTCTCACAAGAGGCCTGGGCAACTATAAGGCTAGGTCAGCAGCATCATCTCCTTAACTCCTCCCAGACCTCACCACCTGAGATTGCCGACCCCCATCCTTGCTTTTAATCTCTTCTGCTGCAGAGATCTCCAGGTCCAGCCAGATAAGCTAAGCAGTGAATCCCGCAGCCTACAGTTTTGTGGCCATCTTGCAAGCATCAGACCCTGGATCTCTTCTAGATTCATTATAATTCTATAATAAGTGCTATTTCATTTTTTTTTTTAGTTTTTAATCTTTATTAAATTTTTTTCCATAAATTGTACATGACAAAACAAATATACATATACAAAAGACATAAAAAGCATACCAAAACCCTACTGAAGTGGGATATTGTAAATATATTGCACATACTTATACCAAAAGTCTAAACTTCGGGCAAAATACATTGTTATTTATAAAAAAAAAGTTCCTTTTGTTTTCCCTTTTTCATCTTCCACTCCAGCAACATAAAATTAAAATATAAATACAAGTTAATAAAACACTTTGCTGAGAGATTGTCGTGTAGTGTTTACAGGAACTAGGTGGAGAGAGATTTAACAATACATTTTCCTTTTCCTTTCCCCTCTGCCTCTTTCTTTCTCTTTTGTTTCCCTTTGTCTTCTACCTTTTCTCTTACCTCTTCACTCTCTTTTGCCCACCATATTCCATTTGTCTTTTACCCATCTTGAACTATATAGGTTTGCACCCGGGTACCACCTAACATAAGTGTTATTTTATTATAATTCTTAAACCAGTAATATTATAAATACAACCATTTATAAAGAATAAGAAATACAGAATCCCTTAAAATAGACCCTCTTTGTTGGTGATATATATCTGTTTACTAATACATATGATATTTAACATCACTATGCTATGTTCACACCTCTCTGGGTTAAATGTTTGTGCTAGCCTTAATATTTTCCAAGGGCTTTTTTTGTAACTTGGAGAAACAGTAAGGTGCATTGATCTGTAATATCAAAGAGCTGGCAACATGAATAACTGATTCTTTCATTTGCTGTCTCCTGACATCATCCCTATGAGTCACTGTGTAAAGAAATTCTACCTACCCTTTGCTAATATATGCGAAAGTGTGCCTTGGGAGAGTTTGTGTAGTAAAGGAATTGAAATGTGTTTTCTGCTTTTGGAATATGAATACATATTACTGAATAAAAATAAAATAACTATGACATAGAACAGCCTTTTTTATTTTACTTCAAAGAACAATTGTTTATACTGATATTGATTGAAAGTTACATTTATATTACTATGATATAGCATTGTATTTTTTTAAACTAGATAAACACATCTACATATTAACAGAAAATGCATATTAACAAATCTATTATTAAAGCTATCATTAGACCTTCAAGGAAAGAAGGTAAATTGACCATCAGAAATTTTTTTTAAATTGACTCACATACTTGTGAAAAAATTGACAATATATAAAAAAAGAATTTGCAGTATTAAATAACTTGATGATGTGGCTACCAGTGAGTTGATGTATAGATTTAATCAGGTACATACATTGACATCCTGGATTTTGTTATGTGAGATAAACTATATCAACAAGTCTAATCTTCATCGTTTATATTGCAATATAAACCTGGACTTGGTTACTAAAGATGCATATCTATCTCTGAGAAACTAATCCTGGCCGTTATGGCCATGGGCCATATGAGGCCCATAACGGCTTTTCTAGATTCCCCGGCTTGTTTCAGGAATTCATAATCTTTTGTCATTTTTCTTTATTTTAAGTACTATTAGCATATAAAACATAAAAATATCTCTATGAAAAATGTACTGCAGTAATAAGGATCCAACCTGAACACTGAAAAAAAGCCTTTTATCTCAAAATCAGATTTCAGTGTCTTTCCAGAAAATGTTTTCAAAATTTCTATTCTACATATAAATTGCTCTTATCTTTAATGATTCCTAAAGATGTTGAAAACATTAGTCTCATTAAAAGTCAATTTAACCTTTTATATATCGACGATATGTCTTACAGGTGAATCGCATTTGTTTATTGAATTTTTCACCCAAACTCTATTTTTTTTTTTTACCCATTTCTGTTTTGCTTTATTGTAAATGATTGATGTGACGCTGGGATTTTGCTACTGTTCCCACTACATTGTTAATTTTTATTTTTAAGTCTACCTTTCAACTCGTCTTTTGAACATTATTTATCGACAAAAATAAGCATAGTTCTTAAGTACTGATAATGCAGTACATACTGAAATAATAAAGAGAATCCCCAAGGCTCTGAAAGAGTTAATGAAATGCCATATTGTTTTTATCAGCAGGTCGGAAGGTCTGAATTACTCTGCATGTGGTTTTATTTCTACGACATGTTTCATGATTCAAGAATTACAAAGTGATTTTAAGGAAAAGAACACAAAGGGCAGACAGTAACCAGAATAGCAGCCAGTTTTATTACTCCATCTACAAAACAGAAAAATATGGAAGCAGTCACCTGAACACAAGCATATATTAATAGAGTGCACCTGAGATAAGTAAAGGTTGCACACAATCCAAGAATTAGTTACATGATAGGGCTATTGTATGCTTACTCTGCATTTCATATAACCCAATGTGTACCAGAAAACATTCCCAAATGATTGATTTTAAAGCCATGGAATCTGTATAAATTTAGATTTTTTAAGAGAAACCCCCCTGTGTGTCAGGATCCACATAAAGCATTACAAGCATGGAGCATTCCAATAAGCCCTACCGCTGAGTTTCAAAGTACTTGTAGTAGAAGGCCCAGACAATATCAGGATCTTTTCAGTGACTACACGTGACAATTTCATCATTCTTATTTGCTATCAGTGGGAAGGCGAGTACTTGGCAAATAACCCTTCAAACTTCACATTCCTCCCTAAACCCCCTTTCCCCTAATCATACATTTTATATAACTGTATCTGCAGCTCTGCTAGAAGGTTGCCTGACTTATAGTAGTTAGTTTTCACTTATAGTTACATAGCTGAAAAGAGACTTGCATCCATCAAGTTCAGCCTTCCTCTCATTTGTTTTTTGCTGTTGATTCAAAAGAAGGCAAAAAACCTAGTTTGAAGCACAATTTTGCAACAAGCTAGGAAAAAAATTCCTTCTTGACCCAGGAATGGCAGTCAGATTTATCCTTGGATCAAGCAGTTATTACCCTACATTGAAATGTACATTACCCTACATTCTTTCTTCCAGTCTAAACGCATGACCTCGTGTCCTATGTAAAGTTCGGTTTGTGAATAGATTTCCACACAATGGTTTGTATTGGCCCCAAATATATTTGTATAATGTTATCATATCCCCTCTCAGGCAATGTTTTTCTAAACTAAATAGGTTTAAATTTGTTAACCTTTCTTCATATGTCCCATTCCTTTTATTAATTTTGTAGCCCGCCTCTGCACTTATTCTAGTGCCATAATATCCTTCTTTAGAACAGGTGCCCAAAATTGCATATTCAATATGTGGTCTTACCAGTGATTTATAAAGAAGCAAAATTATATTCTCGTCCTGAGAATGAATGCCCTTTTTCATGCATGACAATACCTTACTGGCCTTGGCCATTGCTGATTGACATTGCACATTGTTGCATAGTTTGTTGTCTATAACAATTCCCAAGTCCTTTTCGTGTGTTGTTATCCCTAATTCGCTTCCATTAAGGGTATACGTTGCATGTGTATTCTTTACGCCGAAGTGCATAACTTTGCATTTTTCAACATTAAATTTCATCTGCCATTTGAGTGTCCAGTCCCCCAGTCTATCTAAATCCCTCTGCAGCAAAGTAATATCTTGCTCACATTGTATTATTTTACAGAGTTTTATGTCATCTGCAAACACTGAAACATGACTTTCAATGCTGTCTTCAAGATCATTTATAAACATGTTAAATAGAAGGGGTCCTAGAACAGACCCCTGAGGGACACCATTTGCCACCTCTGTCCAGCTTGAAAATTTACCATTAATGACAACTCTTTGTACTCTGTTTTTAAAAGGATTTAGGCACCTGTGCATCTACAGCTTAATGAAGTGGTTCGGGTGCCAGGGTCCTTCTAGGGTTAACCTATTTTTTAGCAGTCATAGCAGCTCGCTATGTTTATTAATGGGTTGCTTCCTCTGTTCTTCTAGTGGTTGCCCTATTGACAGTTACTAGAGGCGCTGGCGTGTTTTCACTGTGAGCACGAAGCGTGCTCATAGGGAAAGCATTGTAAATGTGCTTTCTAGGCGACGGCTGAATGCTGCTGCCAAGAGTTTTGCCGCATCGCAAGATTCAGCCCAGGAGGAGTGATCGAGGAGGAGAGGAGGCAGAGAGCTCCCCGCCCCAGTGCTGGTAAAAGGTAAGTTTTAACCCCTTTCCCTTCTGTATCCTCGGCGGGGACCCCTGAGGGACACCACTTGCCACCTCTGTCCAGCTTGAAAATTTACCATTAATGACAACTCTTTGTACTCTGTTTTTAAGCCAATGTTCTACCCAAGAACAAGCATTTTCATCTAGACTGATTTCCCTGAGTTTGAACACTAATCTATTGTGTGGGACTGTATCAAATTTCTTGGCAAAATCCAAATAGATCACATCCACTGCAACACCCTGATCTATACTTCTACTTACTTCTTCGTAGAATGCAATCAAGTTAGTTTGACATGACCTGTGCTTCATAAAACCGTGCAGATTTTTGCTGATAACCATGTTCTTCTCAAGGAATTCTTGAATATTATCCCTTAATAACCTTTCAAATATTTTCCCAGCCAGAGAAGTTAAGCTCACAGGTCTATAATTTCCAGGCAAGGATTTTGAACCCTTTTTGAATATAGGAACCACATCTGCTTTCCTCCAATCCTCCGTTACACTTCCTGAAAGAAAAGAATCTTGAAAGATTAAAAACAGAGGTTCACTTATTTCTACACTTAGTTCCTTAAGTACTCGTGGATGGATACCGTCAGGCCCTCAAGCTTTGTTTATATTAACTTTCTTTAGTTGCTGCAGCACCTTGTCTTGAGTTAACCAATTACAATTATTCTGCAAGTTTTTTGTAGCAATCATTTGCACATCTATTGCCATGGGTTATTCCTTAATATATACGGAGGAGAAATCGTTATTTAAAATTCCTGCCTTTTCCTGGTTTACAGAGGACACTGGTCTAGGCTCCTGGTACTTATCTCCACACCAGCTTACTTCAGCTCTGAAAAGGCACATTATAAGTGCTGAAAACAGATGCCTGCTAGAATTTTTTTTTTTCAGTTTATGGGAGTGTAGGACCCCCTAGTGGGCCTGAAACATAATTAAGGGAATCTTCTCCTGGGACTGTAGTTTAGTCATGAAAATGTTGCTGTATAATGGGAGAGACCTTCCCTAACCTTCTAAGAGGCTCCTCTGTGTTCTGTCACTCCTCTTCAGTTCCTGCTGTCTCCCGAATACTGGGTCCAGGAATCCCCAGGCTTCTGTCATGCCGCCCGCCGGCGCTGCTCCTGTCAGAGGGCAGCAAGGGTCCTGGCGGGCGCGTATCGCTACAGCGGTATTCTCACAAACTAAGGGGAATACTGCAAAACACTCACCAGAGGTGACCTCTCCTCTCTCAGGAGCCGGATCTGTATCATTAAGCTGCTGTGAAAAATAAAGGGTTTCCTGTTTAACCCTTAAAGGACCAGATCAATTAATTTAATATGGGAGTGTTACACACATAAACTTGATCACATGTTTCCCTACAGCCTATCAGGAAACACCTTTAGCTATTTAAACCTCATTTGTCCATTTATCTGTGCTCTGTCGTGGTTTCCAGTTGGTTATCCGAGAGCGCATTCCTTGTATTGATTTCTTGTGTGTCTGACCTTGGCTTCCCTTATTGACTATCCGATCTCTGTATTCCTTGACTTTTGGCTTGGCTCCTGACTATTCTGATATCTCAATTTCTTAACCTTTGGCTTGTTTATCGTTTGCGTTATACCTTTGTCTTGGCTTTTCCCTATCTTGTGTCTTTTGCCTTTTTACGTTAAATCCGGCCATTCTAAGGTCCGGTAATACGTTTTAGGTATTTGCTTTTGAAATGGAAAAATCAATCAAGGTATTGATTATTTCTTTGTGTATCTGCCCCTGGCCAAATCAATGAAACAATGCGTGCACGCTCCCTGAAGTAATTCACACCAGACACAGGTTCCAGGTTGTTGAATAACTTGAGGAATGTTTATTCAGAGGGGACGGCAGGTCCCTTTTAAAGCAAAATTACATCATAAGCATTGTCAGAGATAACATGGAATAATACATCAATTATTGGTTAGGTGTTAAGTAGTCATTCTAATGCTCTGCCTACTGGGGGTGATGTCACCAGGGCCATGAGGGTCTCCCACGGTTTTCCGGCGCCATCTTGCTGCACGAGGTAGTTAGTCGGTGTTAAAGGGAGGGGGAGGAAAGGAGGGGTTAGAAGCTTCTAGCAGCCATCTTGATTAAAACATGTGTGCATAGCTTATATTGTATATAGTGAAATGAGTAAATAGACATTTTCATTAACTAGGAAATATGTGCAGACCTTATTTCCACAACAGTCCCCCCTAAAATGGCTATTTACTATGACAACTTGCTACTGTCCCTAGTGTATCCCTAGCTGCCTGCAGCTCATCTGTCTTCACAAGCATCGACCTCTTCACTCCGTGGGTAACCCGCAGTAGCTAGTCCACCACATCTCCGCACGTGAGACTTGCCCGTAAAGACAGACGCTTTCCCTACACTGTCCCTACAGAAATGCAGTTGTCTGTTTAAACTGATGTGATTGAAGGGGTGTATGTGGGGTGTCATCTTCGAGGTCTGTGATGTCTTGATGTAGGAAAGTAGGGGTAACGTCATCTATAGTCTTCCCTACTGCTTTCTGTAAATACTTCTGTATGCAAGGGAGCACACAACAGGTTAAGAATAAGAAGATGATAATCATTATAAGAACAGCTGTTCCTACCTGGAAGAGGGTCCTTTGCCAACCATTCATCCACCCAAACCATCTGTCCCAAGTGTCAGTGACTCCTGAATTCTTCTTTAGCTCGTCAGAAAGACTATCTAACTTCTCTATGGCCATAGTCACCTTACCATTGGGCCCAGTGTTGTCTGGAATGTATGTGCAGCATGTCATAGTCTCAGGGAGGATTTTACATACACCCCCTTTCTCAGCTAAAATCATATCTAGGGCCATTCTGTTCTGAAATGTCATTTGGGTAGTGGCTTGTAATTGCTCCGCCAGGCCCTGTAGGGCATCCCTTGTGTAATTAACAAAGCGCTGTTGATTATAATAGATGTAATTGATCCAATTGACATTCTTATTAGCAGTTATCATTGGAATTAAGGATTCAAATCCTGCTGCCACTTCATCCCTTGCCTTGAATTTGTTAGGCACCCCCCTTGGCACACCTATGGCATCAATATACACATGGGGGTCGAAGCTCCCTCGGATGGGAGCCTCTCGTTTGGTTCTAGAATGTACATGTGTAAGGTTTAATGTGTTATGACTACCATCTGGAATAATGTGGATAGGCATTATAACTTTGGTCAGGGCACACTCCCCCCACCATTGCCCAGCTAGTTGGGACCTCAATTGTTTGTCACCACATAACCAATAGATATCACCGATTGTCTTTGTATGATTCATTAACAGTGATACAGGTGGACCATGGTAAGTTGAGCAGTATCCTGATGGGAATTTGCCCAGATATACACCAGTGTTCTTAGGTATTGAATAGCATGTGTAATTACCTGGATAGACTGTGACTCCATCAGGTGGCTTGACATGTCCATGAGTGATTGGGTAAACTCTATTCCATGATTCACATGTTGAGGAATTTGTGGTGGACTGTGCATAGAGGCTTAAGACACATAGTTCTATTTCAGGAGGTAAACTTAGGGGTACCGTGCCCAGATGGGGCCTGGCTCCTCCACATACATAGCAGTTAGTCTTATTATGTGAGTTGGCATTATACCTCATCCATTCTAGCCACAAATTAGTGTCTGAAAACCCAGTCTCCACTGCCATAGTGTCTTCAAAGGTGGGGTTGGCTATAGCTACCATGTAGGGTCTTAATATGTGGTTTTAACGGGTTAATGATCATGTGTGTGGTCCCTACCCAATCTGGTGAGGTGAGCATGTCTTGTAGGTAAAATGTCCCCAGTGTGTTATGTGAGCCACCTCCCTTCCAGTACATTCCCATTACATATTCCCCAGCATCCTTTGGGCTGGGGTGCTCTATGTTCAAGGTAAGTTTAATGGGAGTTGACCCTATGGGCTTACTCAGGGTCATTCTAGAAATTAGGGGTTTCCCGTCTTTGTCAAGTCTGTCCAGTGCAATCTGGGGTCTGTAGCCCCATGGTCTACCCGTGTTCCACCCGGCAGCTTTCCATGAACTACAATGGTGTCCCCAAACTCCTCCAGTCACACAAATGTATGGATCCTTTTTGTTAGGTATGTCTTTGTATATGGCTGCATATTGTGTTTGTGGAAATGTGCAAGCAACTATGCCACAGTAATCAAAGGTGTACGTAGCTACATCTGTGTTAGAAGAATTGTACCAGAAAGTGTAAACATGATTATCTTTGGTTATGGCCACTTGTTGGGCCCAGGCAAAGTGTAGCAGCATAAGAAAACACAAGACACATATTAAATTCATATTTCAGCAGGATTAGCCTCTTCTGGAGCAGGCACTTTTTTGCAATGTGAGGCGAGTATCCAAGAACTCTTCCCGGCTAGTTTAACTGACGTTGCTGTAATCAGGAGCACTTGATAAGGACCATCAAATCTTGGTTCTAGGGTGTGTTTCCTGAGAAACTTCTAGACCATAACCCAATCACCAGGAAGCAGCTTGTGTGTACTTGTATTCGACTCAGGATCTGGAATAGAAGAAAACACTTGGGCATGTATTTTGGTCAAGGCATGTGAGAGGGCAGTCACATAGTCTACCATAGCATCTGACTGAATCTGAAGCTGTTGGGGAAAGTAACAACCTAACCTGGCTGCTGTACCAAACAAAATCTCATAAGGTGATAAGCTATATTTTCCCCTAGGAGTGTACCTTACACTAAATAACGCTAGTGGGAGACTCTCGGGCCAGGCATGTTAGTTTCTTGTGACATTTTAAGCATTCTGGCTTTCAAAGTGCCATTCATGCGCTCTACCTTACCACTACTCTGTGGGTGATATGGTGTGTGGAATGCAAGGGTCACCCCCAGTGCTGACCAGACTTCCCGTGTTAACGAGGCAGTAAAGGAGGTCCCTTGGTCACTTTCAATCACTTCTGGAACTCCATATCAGCAAACAATTTCCGTCAAAAGGTACTTGGCTGTAGTCCTCGCGGTGAGATTAGTCACTGGGAAGGCCTCTGGCCATCCTGAAAACATGTCCACCATGACCAGTGCATATTCATAACGTCCACTCTTTGGCATTTGTATATGGTCAATCTGGATCCTCTGAAAGGGGTATTGCGGCTTGGCTAGGTGATTAGGCGCAGTCTTTATAATCTTTCCAGGATTGCATTTAGCACATATAGTACATGATTTACAGTAATTCTGTGTTAAGGTAGTGATACCTGGTGCTTCAAAATACTTGTCAATCAGTGAGTTCATCAGATGTTTTGACAGGTGGGCTGGCCCATGGGCCCATTGGACCACCGCTGAGTACATACTTCTGGGTAAGCAAAACTTGAGATTGATGGTGTAAACATCATCACGGAGTACAGCTCCTTTGTTCTTCCAACTTTGTTTCTCCTGGGGAGTAGCAGCAGCTTGTTGTTCCTTCAGAAGCCTAAGATCTGTAGGCAATGTTTGCATAGTGTAGATGGGTACTGTATCGGTGGCCACTCTTCTGTCCACTTCCCATCCTTGCCGTGCTGCTTCCTTAGCTGCCTGATCAGCTAAGTGGTTGCCCCGTGCTTCTTCTGTGTCTAGTCTTCCGTGGGCTTTTACTTTTAGTACTGCCACCTCTGCTGGAAGTTCTAAAGCATCCATCAGTTCTGCAATGGCTGCCCCATGTTTTACTGGGGTACCGGTAGCCGTAAGAAATCCTCTGGTTTTTCAAATTAGACCAAAGTCATGTGCTACTCCCAGGGCATATCTTGAATCTTTGTAGATATTGACACGTAGACCTTCAGACAATTTGCAGGCCACAGTCAGGGCTGTTAGCTCGGCTTCTTGAGCAGACTTAGTTGGTTGTAGGGCAGCTGCTTGTAACACTTGACATCCTGTGGTGACTGAATACCCAGTGTGATATTGTCCCTGTTCATCAGCAAATCTTGACCCATCCACAAATAGTGTTTGGTCCGGGTTGAGTAATGCAGCTTCATAGACAGTTGGTAGGTGTGTAGTTTCCATTTTCATTTGTTCAAAACAATCATGAGGAATATCTAGGTCACAGTCTATGATGAGTGGGTCTTCTCGGGCTTCTGTGTGGTACCTTGGGTACCCTGCTGTACAGTAATTAATAGTCTTTTTGTTGATCCCCGTAGAAGTCAGTTGTTCTTGGTTCATTTGACTCCAGGTCTTGGCCATCGGGCCTAGGTCTTTCCATGAGGTGTCAGGGGATCTGGTGAGAGATATGTGTGGGATAGCTGTTTCCCAATGATGATAGAGATGTGTCACATTCTCTGGAAGATGGACTAAGATGAGCATGGTACCTGTGGGGTCCCAGAATAAGTCAGTCAGGGTAATTTGAATTTCCTTGAGCTGGAATAATTCTTCCTCATAGTTCATATCAGGGCCTGGTATGTCCTTAAACCATAAGGTGCCGTGGAGTAGGGCCTCTGATTGTTCATCATGTGGGGGTGCAAGTGCTGGCAGCTGCAAATCTGCTCGAACCTCTGGGTTGATGTCCAGGCTGTACCAGTAATGCACAACTCCCCCCTTGGGAAGTGGCAGAAGAGTGGCTGGGTTCAGGGAAAGACAACGCTGAAGTTTCACATTGTCAGGTAAAAGTAGGGATGTTTGTAGACGGAGGTGACGTTGAGAAGAAAGGTGCTTAGGTTGAACTAGTTGCAGGATTGCAGTAATGTCATGAGGGGCCAACACCGTGAGGTGGTGGCCAAGAACAAAATCATTAGTCTTGTCCAGGAGGGCGCTGGCGGCAAACACCGCTCTGAGGCAGGAGGGACTACCCCTTGCAACAGGGTCAAGCATGCAGGAAAAATAGCCAATAGGCCGCTGTCTTGAGCCATGTTTCTGGGTAAGGACTCCGGAAGCATGTCCTGACTTCTCAGAGACAAACAGATTGAAAGGAAGCTGGTAGTTTGGGAGGCCCAAGGCAGGTGCAGAAGCAATAGCTATTTTTAGATTGTGGAAACAGGTGAGATGAAATGGCTCACTCCTGAGGGCATCATAGAGTGGCTGCATGAGCTTTGATGCTTCGGGTATCCAGGACCTGCAGTATGTGATAAGACCCAAAAAGGCATGAAGAGTCTGATGTGTTGCAGGTAAAGGGAGTTGCAAAATAGCTTGTACACGTTGAGAAGTTAGATGTCTGGTGCCATGGGAAAGACAATGTCCCAAGAAGACCACAGAGGGCCGGCACCATTGTAGCTTGGATTTGGAAGCTTTGCAACCAGCTGCAGCGAGGAAACAAAGGAGATCTTCTGAGTCACGTTCTGCAATGAGCGAATCAGGAGCACAGAGAAGGAGATCATCAACATATTGGATCAGGACAACATCTGAGTGAGATTTCTGCCAGGGCTCCAGAACCAGAGACATGGCATGAGCAAACTGTGTGGGGGAATTCTGGGCCCCCTGAGGCATGACAGTCCAGGTGTATTGTTGTCCTTCGTGGGTGAAGGCGAAGAGAAAACGGCAGGAAGGGTCAAGGGGCACACTGAAAAAGGCATTGGCTAGATCCACTACAGTGAAAATTGTGGCAGTCGGTGGAACCTGGGACAAGAGAGTGTGTGGGTTTGGAACAATAGCAGTGTCCTTTTACGGTTACTTCATTAACAGCACGGAGATCCTGCACCATTCGGTACTGGTCGGGTTGGCCTTTAACAGTTCTCTTTTTAACAGGGAAAAGTGGTGTGTTACATGGAGATGTGCACTTGATGAGGGCACCTTTGGCAAGTAGGCTTTCAACTTGTTTGGTGATAGCTTTAGCTTGTGCTGGCTTCAGAGGATACTGTGGCCTACGGGGAGGCAGTGCTCCAGGCAGGAGCTTGACCAAGACTGGGGGCACATGCAAACGTCCGATATCATCCAGGCCGGTGGACCAAAGTTCTTGGGGGATATGATCCAGAGCACTGGGGGTTTGTGAGACCCGTGTATTCCCTGTATTGTCAGTTAGGATCAACAAGATGGGGAGGGAACAGAGGACAGAGGTGTCTTTTTGTGATAAGGGAGTTGTTAACTCGACCTGACCATCAGCAGTAAAGGTAATAGATGCCTGGAGCAGAGAGAGAACATCAGCACCTAGGAGGTTAATGGGGCAAGTAGAGGAAACAACAAACCGGGAGTGAATGTGTGAACCTACATGCAGAAGTTTAGTAAGGGGGTTACTGCGGGGTGTACCATCCACCCCAACACAGGAGACATCGGTATCAGATAAGAAGGAAGGATCTGGCAGGTTTTGTTCCCTGAGAACACTACGGGCTGCACCTGTGTCGACTCCCCCCCCGCAGACACTGCCATGGCAGGGGTTGCTGACACAGGCTTGCCAGTTACCTATTGTAATAAATCTAAATGGGCCTGATCTGGTCCCTGGTACCGGCGGGAAGTGGAGGGAGGGTTACTAGATTGCATGGGAGGACGGGATGGACGATTAGTGTGGCGGGGCAGTGACTGACTCTCTTGGAAATCATCTGTGTCAAACCCTTCAGCGGGAGCCGAAGTGTATGCACGGCATCTGATGTAGGGAGCCTGGGTGTATTCAGGAGGAGGAGGAGGAGGAGGGGGAAGCTGTGGCAACTGTGGATGGGGCAGGGCAGGGAGGTAACCAGTGGAGGGGAAACTAAAGCCGGTGACATGGGGACTTGGGTACCGGGGAGTCTGTGGGCGGATTACTCTAGGGTGTGGGCAATCTCTTCTGAAATGGCCGGGCTGATTACAGTTAAAACAGGTCCGGATTGTCGTGAGGGTCCGGTCCCGGGGAGAAGGGATAGATGCAGGCAGTGTCTGGGGTAACTGAGTGTATTGTTGGGGGAGTATCTGAGGAACCTGGTTAGGACTGACAATTGGTGCAGAAGTAGTATACATCAGAGGGTTAGTTCTTCGCTGTGTGGGTTGCAGAACAGATTCTAAACCCTTGGCTACCAGTAAAAGTGTGTCCAGTGGAATAAATCTGTACTCTGGGCGAGCTAAAATCAACCCCTTACGAATGTGTTCCCTAAGGCCTGCCACAAAGGCTGCAGATAACATCTGTGTGTGTGCTTTGTTATAGGTGCTGAACCCTAAGTCTGAGAAAGTCTGAGTCAATCTAGAATGATACTTTTCAACAGTCTCAAGCTTATCCTGAATTATGTCATTTATGCAAGTAGCCTGATCTGCTAATTTATCCTGTGCCCAAGCTCGGAGCTGCTCACAGAAAATTTCACCAGAACGAAAATCTGTATCAGAAGTGAGTGGAGCGTCATTAAAGCTCCGTTCCATGATTGGCCAGTATGCATCTCCAGCCTTTATTTCACACAAACTTATAAGATCCCGCCAGGCAGCGGAATATGTTTTTCGAATTTGAGCCATGCTGCGGAAAAAGGGCATGGGGTGTTTCTCAGGATCTGGGAGTGAGGTCACAAGGGTAGCAGCTTGGGAAGGGTTTAAGGTAACATACATGGGTGGTGCACCATCCGCTCCATGGTTAATCTGGGTATAACCCTGGGGGATAGTGAGCCGTTGGGGGAGCCTGTTCCCCCCTGGGCGAGGTGAATCCTGTTCTACCACAACAATCTCCTCGGGTGCTACTGGGCCACGGTGCAGAGTAGTCTCGGGGGTAGCTGTGGCGGGGGCGGCAGGGAGACCGTGATGGGAGAGGTAGTTGGGTGGAAGCCCGAGGCCTGGGGGGAAGCACCCACTGCATAGGGTTGATCCGACGTCACAGACACTTCGGATCCAACCACCATGATTGGATAACTAGAGCTGGTAGGAGATACATGGGGTTGCTGTGGGGGCCGGCTGAGATGGGCGTGAGAGGTGGGTGTGGCGAAACCGGCCTCGCCACGTGTCCTTGGAGGGGGCTGCTTGCCTGCCTCTTGCCTTTGGACTATGGACCAGACTTTATGTGAAGTTATTAACCCAGATAGCTATGCCATGGAGCCCATTCGTGTAGTTAAAGACTTCGGCTCCATGGCAATTGAACTGTGTGAATAGGATCTGAGCGCTATTCGGTAGTTTTGTGCGCTTAGATCCCAGCTATCTGGGGATATGTGACATGTCTGTGTTTTATGTATAAAATGTGACTTTATGTATTTTAAAGTGTTTTGTGTCTTTTTGCAACCATGTGCTTAATGGAGTCTTTTGTCTGTCCTGGGAGATAATTGAATTACTCTCCAGGATAGAAGACTCTGAAACTGGTTTGGGCCGGAAAGCCATGCTTCATTTAGTCACAAAGGACTTTCCCTTAACTTTTGAACCCCTGGTCTGATTCGTGCCATTTTTAAATATGTTGTTCCCCTGAATGGATTGATTATGAAAATGTAAGTTTTATGTATGTACGATGTTAACTCACAAAGTTATAAAAATGTACAAAAAGTAACTTTTCAGCTTGGAGATAATTGAGTAGATACAGTAATTGACTCAATTATCTCCTAAGCAGAGGGGAGGAATATGCTGGGTGTGTTTCTATTGTCCCATTGTGTCTGATTGGCTGCTGTACTTGCATTGTAGGTGTTGTAATGTGTTTATTGGTGGTTCTGCAAAACCCTGTGGGCAGTACGATGTTTTGTGGATTGTAATAAAAACCAGGCTGGGTGTGCCAGCACTGGAGTTCCTGTTTTAACCCTCAAAGTGAAGTGTCGTCTCATTATTGGGGGAAGGATTTATTGTATGCTGTTCCAGTTTGACTGCTAGGAGAGTAAACCTGTTCGTATGGTTCCTATTCAACTGTCTACAGCATTCATATGCTTGAGAGGATTCATATGCTGCACTGGTTCTTTGGTTGTGGTGTCTGCTGGAGTCCTCAGGAAGCGCTAGGAGCATCCTTCAACGGAGGTACCCAGTCGGGGTGCCAGGCGATCCGTTACAGTGGGTATTTAGGACATGAGCGAGAGCAGAGATTGGATCGGAGGGCTCGGGGATGTTAGCGGGGGGCGGAGAAGGGGTTGGACGATCAGGGGGAGGAGGTGGAGGAGGAGGAGGTAAATCAGTGGGAGGTGGAGCAGGAATCGCGGAATTAACCAGGGAGGTAACCGCAGAGAAGAGGACGGATATCGAGGTAGACAAGTCATTGGCCATGGTTGGGTCAGGGATCACCGGGGGAGGGGTCGGAAGGATGGGAACAGGGGGCTGGGTTATAACAGCGTGGGTAGAGGGTAGGGACGGCAAATCAGTCGGGTGGGGAGGAGACAACGAGGTAGAGGGGGCCGGGACATCGGGAGGAGGTAACACTGGAGAAGGGGTTGGGGGGCTGGGTCAGGGCGGTAAGGGCAGAGCTTAGGGACGGCAAATCAGCCGGGAGGGGAGGAGACAACGAGGTAGAGGGGGCCGGGACATCGGGAGGAGGTAACACTGGAGAAGGGGTTGGGGGGCTGGGTCAGGGCGGTAAGGGCAGAGATTAGGGACGGCAAATCAGCCGGGAGGGGAGGAGACAACGAGGTAGAGGGGGCCGGGACATCGGGAGGAGGTAACACTGGAGAAGGGGTTGGAGGGATGGGAACGGGGGGCTGGGTCAGGGCGGTAAGGGCAGAGATTAGGGACGGCAAATCAGCCAGGAGGGGAGGAGACAACGAGGTAGAGGGGGCCGGGACATCGGGAGGAGGTGGCGGTGTGTGGATAGCAGGAGGGTCCTGGAGGATGGGAGGGGTGCCTGGGAGTGTTGCGGGAGGATGGATTGAAGCAGAAAGGGCGGCTACTAGTGTTGCAAGATCAACGGGAGGGGAGGAGGTAGAGGGAGGGCCAGCTGTGGTGGTATATGAGGGAGCGGAGGCAGGGGGGCCGGGATCAGCGGCTGGACAAGATTCATGAGAGTGGAGAGTAGGGATGAGGGATCCTTAGAGGAGGAAGGAGAAGGGGAATGAGAAGGAGAAAAAGGCAGAGAGGATAATGGGGTAGGGGTCACGGGACAGGTCACTTTCGAAAGGCTAGCAAGGAAGGAGGAAAGGTCTGGGTCCGGGGGTATGGGAGAAGGGGGGTCTGTGGAGGAACAGGGGTCCGGAGGAATGGGGGCAGTGGGATGGACAAGGGTCGAGGGAGCAGAGTGTGAAGCAGTCGAGGGGGGGTAAGGGAGCGGGTGTCACTGGTGATGGGGTACTCGAGGTGGAGAGGGAATGAGAGGAGGAGGAGGAAACGTCGGTGGATGAGGCGGGAGCGGTCAGGACGGGATCTTGGCGAGGTTTTGGAGTAGAAGCAGGCACTGGGAGAGGTGGCGGAGGACATGGAGGCGGGGGAACATCAACAGACGTAACAGGAGAAGGGTTGATGGAGGGGGCTGGGTCAAAGGGAGGTTGGTGCATGGGAGTGGGTGGGAACGAATGAAGTGGCACTGGATAGTAGTAAGCACCGTCTGCACCGAGTACGGGGCACAGGGGGGTGGGAGCTGAAGGCACACCCACGGGGGGTGGGGTCTGTGCTGTGACAGGGGAAGCAGGGCGGGAATTTACTGTTGCGCTCTGGGCGCCATCATAGGGCGGTGGCCACGGGACAATGGAAACAACATCATCATTGTTAACACTCCTATGGTATACGTACACAGTTTGCCCTTCAAAATCTAACTCTTCCTCGACCCACCCTTCCCGTTTCAGACGTCTAGCTACCCGATACCAAGCCTCTGCAACTTTTGTGAGCCCATTATCCAACAACAACCCTTCCTTGTCTATGAGTAACTTCCTCCAAAACTCAGGTTGCAATCTCCCACTGGGCAGCATCTGGAAGCCACACACCTTAGCAATCTTTCTAAGTTTCAACATTGCATCTTCCCCTGCCCTTTCTTTCACAATATCACAAGCCAACAAGCCCTTAGCAGGTCTAACATGTTCCTGCCCCATCTTGAATAATTGGAGTGAGCCACGTGTTAGAGACAGATATACAGAGGAGATACAGGGGAGGAGGAAGAGGAATGTCTACAGTGCTCGACTGCCACGAGGACTTGGGTCCCGTGCGTCTTCCCAAAACGTAGACTAGTCACGGGGGTCCGCCCACCGGGGGTGGCGGTCACGGACCGGAGCGAGCGAGCGTGGGTGACTAACACAGCTCTGGGCAACAGACACAGGAGAGATAAAGGACAAAAGAGAAGATGAACGTGGCTACGCTAACGAGAAGACATTTGCAAAAGTCACAAACATAGAGATGAGCGTAAACCCCGGAATCCAGAACCAGCCACACTATACACACACACACACCCCAAGGGTACCCACACTGTAACAACAATTGAACAAAAACCACAGAATGACAGAGAGTAAAATGGCCATGTACATGTTAACACCACTGGCACCAGATATTTAAAATGTGGCAATCCCCAGCCCTCCCCCACCAGGCTGGTCCCGTTATAACACAAGTACCAATGAAACACTGCAATAATCAAACAAAATACCAGCCCCACCGGCTGTAATGCGTTCCCTGCCCGCTAGGCAGTCAAGCTAACATAAAATCCCAGCCCCACCGGCTGTAATGCGTTCCCTGCCCGCTAGGCAGTCAAGCTAACATATAATCCCAGCCCACCGGTTGTAATGGGCGCTCCTGCCCGCTAGGCAGTCGCTTAACATATACGCGCTCCCACCAAGCAGGGCAGTCAAGCTAACATCTTTTAAAAAGGGGAAAACACACACACCGGCCGGCCACACACATTCGAACGAATACAGGAGGCAGATAGACAATCGACAGGTTCACTTTAAAAGGCACACCGGATGAGCTTACCTGTCTCTAGTAGCCTTCTGGAAGCCGGAAGTGGACTCGGAGACAGACCGACACAAAACAGGAGAATAACACAGGCAACGGCTGTATTATGGAGGTGATCAGGCTCCGCTTGTCCCACTTTCCGGAGGTCCGCTCCGGTCCGTTGGTTCCGGCCCTCCGAACCGGCCCTCCGGTGGGCCCCACGTTGGGCGCCAATTGAAATGGAAAAATCAATCAAAGTATTGATTATTTCTTTGTGTATCTGCCCCTGGCCAAATCAATGAAACAATGCGTGCACGCTCCCTGAAGTAATTCACACCAGACACAGGTTCCAGGTTGTTGAATAACTTGAGGAATGTTTATTCAGAGGGGACGGCAGGTCCCTTTTAAAGCAAAATTACATCATAAGCATTGTCAGAGATAACATGGAATAATACATCAATTATTGGTTAGGTGTTAAGTGGTCATTCTAATGCTCTGCCTACTGGGGGTGATGTCACCAGGGCCATGAAGGTCTCCCACGGTTTTCCGGCGCCATCTTGCTGCACGAGGTAGTTAGTTGGTGTTAAAGGGAGGGGGAGGAAAGGAGGGGTTAGAAGCTTCTAGCAGCCATCTTGATTAAAACATGTGTGCATAGCTTATTTTGTATATAGTGAAATGAGTAAATAGACATTTTCATTAACTAGGAAATATGTGCAGACCTTATTTCCACAACAGCTTTATATTTACTTAAGTTCTGCATGTTGGGCATCTACAGAAATCCTGACAGCTTCATCATCCCGTGTTTTCCTACCTATGTCTCCAGGTCCCAGGACTGTGGGGTCCATTAGCACTCCTTTGCCTTTTGATCTGGGCCTAGGGGTGTCCAGTAATTTTGAGGGCGACATGCCAGGGCTATCATTGCCAGTTTCTGCATGAGCGTCTGGGGGGTACGTCCTCTGTTCTCTTGCATTCGCTTGCTCCATTCTCTCCTACGCACCAGACTGTTAGTGGGTCCAATGCCACGCCACTGTCTTTGGCTGCTTGCATGGGTGGCCCCTACGCATCAGGGTCTAACATCACTGACATGCACGCTCCCTTTGGGGTAGATGCACCAAGCAGCGCTTCTATCTCTAATTTCAACCCTGTTAACCCTACATTCACTACTGATCCTACTTCTTCTCAAGCCTCTACTTCTACTGATCCATTCGCCGCTGTGTCCTCTGCCCTTGGAGCTCCCATCTTAGCTTCTGTTTTGCAGGAGGTACTGAGAAACATGGAACATACCTCCCCTCGCAACGTATCCAGGCGGTCTGCAGGTCAAGTTACGTTACCACAGAGGACTGATACAGCTTGCCCCATTCCTCCAGTGGCTGGATCATCTCAGGCGGGAGTTGCTGTTCCTCCGGACACGGGATTGCAGGTGGCTGCGCCAGTCAGTGAGTCTTTTCCTCCTACACTTGCAAGTTTAGACCTATCCATTTCATCTGACGACTCCGGGTTGGAGGATGAAGGCGTGTTAATCTTTCCTCTAAGAGTCAGAAATTGATGTTTCACATGCTCAGGAAATTATTGCTAGCACAAGGAAGGGGGGGTCACTCAGGCGTTGTGGGCGGATCTGTCCTGCACTCAGCACCGCTGAATTCCCCCTCCTCTTCACTTGGCCAAGAGTTGTTGCTGTGCAGGGCAGCTATTCAAGGGGACTCTAACCCCTGTTCTGTTTACTCCCTGCATGCGCACCTCAAGTCCAAGGTGAAGGCGAAAATTTGGGAATTTAACATATGTCCGCATTTTTTAACTCTCTTCTGAGGCTTATAGGCTTCAGGAGAGAGCTGATGGTGAGTCTGGTACAAAACGTCCGAAACGCCTAGAATCATTTGAGTGGAAGGGCTGTTTTCGGGTGCTGGCTTCCTGTCACTTGGAGAAGCATCCAGAGCAGGCCATTCCTGTCCTCAAGGAGATGATGGATTATATTTATCGTCATTTCAGGCAAGGGGCATGGAAGGAGTATTTTTTAGGTTTATGAGGCGCCTGGCGAGTAATCCATCTCTGTCCTTTGGTGTGCAAGATATGCACCTGTGGTTGCACTTTGGGCCAGAGAAGGTCTTGCCTCCTGGGGGTGGTGTTTTTTCGTCCACTGGGCTTCCTTGGGTTCCCAGCCTCTTCTGTGTGTGTCCGCTGGTTGGGACGGCGCAGCCTTTGCTGGCCTGCTCTCCCAACATTGCTTCGGGAGGCTCCGGCTCGATGGGGGAGTCCACATATCCTGGTGCTCCATCTTGGTGGCAACGATTTTTGTTCTGTTCCAGTACTAGATCTGGCATGGGTTGTCTACTCGGATCTTCGCTGGCTTTCTGCTTGGTTACCAGGCGTGAGGATTGGGTGGTCCAATGTGTGGCCCAGGCTTCAGTGGCGCAGGTTTTCTTCTCCAGGTGCCACTTACAGGGCTCGGAAGAAACAGACTGGTAGGTTGAGCTGTTGCTGAGCTGCATGGGGCATAGGGCATCCGAGCATTTCTGTCAACCGGGTAGAGCTTTTTAGGCCTGATGGGGTCCACCTCAGCTCTGCTGATATGGACTTTTTTCTTGCTGACTTTCATGAGGCTCTGGTGCCCCAGGTCTAGCCCAGGCTGCAAAAAATAAAAAAATAAAAATATATATAAGTTGTTTGGTTGGTGGCAAGAGATTGGATCTCTTGTGGCGAGAGGGTGCAGCTTTAGGGCATGGTGCAGAGAAAGAGAGCGGAGTATCGGCAGCAAGGAGACAGTGGCCTGGCTGCGGCGCCCGCCTGCAGTCTGCATTCAAGGTGGCCGTACCGAAGATTATCTCTTGCTGTCCTTATGTCTCTGCTTGGGTGGATGCAACTGGTGCTCCGTTGCAGGATTAAGTTGAGCCGCATCCTCTTGTGGGCTGAGGAGTTAAGCTCTCAGCGCCGCCACCCTAGCTAAATTTGGTTATTATTTATATTTTACAGCCGTTCTGTTTGTTTTTTTTCTGCCATGATGCCATGGTGATGTATTCAATAAATGCGGCCAGCAATGGCTTTACCTCCCAGCATGTTGTTTGTGTTATTTTTTTCAAGGGGAATGTTGGGTTAGGGAGGGTGTTATAGGGTTAGTTATTTGGCTAAAATGAAGGGACATAGGAGATATCCCCTCATGCAGCCTGAGGCACAAAGCATGCATGAAAAAACTGTTTCATTTTCAATCAGTATAGTGTGTTCATGTAAAAAAAATTTTTTATCTCCAACTCTGTTAATTGATCTTTAATCTTACACAGGAGAATCCTGTAGGCTCTAGCAGGCTTTAACCAGAGTAGGATATACAAAACTCTAAATTAAATAGAATGTGCAATAAAAGAAGTTTAAACATTAGCTCTTTCTTTACGGGAAATATGTAGAGAGATTGTGTAGGTCACATGCAGGGACAGTATGAGTAGGGCTACATAAACATAAACGGATTTAACTCCTAAATGACAAATAATTGAGCAGTTAGTCTGCAGGGGCATAATCTGTACAACAAATCAACTCCATTCAGCTAAAGTTGTTTTGGTGCTTATATGTCTTGCTAAATATGGCTTGGCCATCAATATGTGTTTTTTTTGTTATTGCAGACAGAAAAAGACAAGCAAGGAAAAAACAAGACAAAACGGAAATCAAACGTCTAAAGGCATTTGATGTCAGCTTAAGAAAATAAAAAGACATAGAGAAATCATGGGGGTGACTTAAAAAAGAAGACTATGCCAATTGTACTTAAAATAAAGCTTAACAAAATGTTCTTGTTGTAGAAAACACGTTTTCAAGTTATTAAACATCCTGGAGCTTATCATCTGGCTGCCAAAAAGAATATTACTAATGGTACAGTTTAGTATTGAGAAAAAAAGCTGTATGTGATCTATATGTACCTATTACACAGTTACATACAACATCATTTCATTTATCATATCTTCACAATTCATGGTCCTAACAGTCACTCTTCCAGGACATTGGGTAAAATCAGGTTTGCTAATGTATGAGTGACTAAAGGTAGCTTAATAGCTGTAATTGATTTACAATTTACATAGTTTTATCTTTATAACCACCTTTATTCGAGCATAAAATGGTGAACCTCCCTACGAATTCAAGGTCACATTTTTAATCCAACAACGGCATTACTTCCCCATGCTTTCCTATGGGGATTTTACTGACGCTGGATGTCCTCATGCAGAGCGTGAGGGTGTCCAGGAAATGCCTCTCATGGTCGTCCGATGGACAGCCCATAAAGGCAGTCTTAGTACTGCAATGTATGCAATGTAATCATTGCAGTTTCTCTAAAACAGCAATGATTTATATTGCAGTACTAAGGGGGACAGGGACACTGCAACCAGACCTCTTCAATGTGCAGAAGTGGTCTGGGTGCCTATAATTAAACCACAATGTTTATGTTTTAGGAAAACCAAAACAGATCATATTTCAATTGTTAACTCTTCATTTTTGTGGTTAAATCTTCATGGGGATATGTGTTATATCATGTTGGTAAGCCCTTGATTTAAAATTGTTGGGTTAGCTTTTTAAATCATTTAATATTTTTGGATAACTTACATTTAAAAAAAAAAACTAGAAAACTAAAATATTTGTCATACTATTAAATCATTTAAAAAATATTTCCAAAATATTAAATAGTTTAAAAGTTTATCCAACAATATTAAATCAAGGTCTAATAAGTCAGTTAGTACATTAAATGCAGTACATGTTCAAGATAAAAGATACCTAATTGGATTAGGTCAACTGCTGTAGAAATGTGTGTGTGTGTAACGTGGTTACAAATTTAAACTCCGGGATCCAATCATCCTTTCATCCTCCCGAGGTTGATTATATTAATAGGATATATTTTTAGTAACATTGTGCGACTTATTAAATTGACTTACCTGTAACAAGAATTAAAAATGCTAAGTTAAAACCTAGGATTACTATTGTATTATCATTAAACATCAAGTTCCAGTTGATCAACTAAGCCTTTCATCCTTTTCAAGTCAATCAAATCAGTTCTAGTGACCTGAGTTTTAATGACATCTCTGGATGTAAAACAAATCTGGGTTATGAGATTTCAAGTTAAAACAGCCAAAAAGTAAACGTCATGAATGTGTTCATCAAAAGAAATTATTTGATATAAAAAAATATTTTATCCCTTTCCCTTATACATAGATTGGTATTGAGATTTGTTGCAGTCTCTTTACTGTAAGGTCTAACCTGGCACTGATCAGCTTGTTTAAAGTCTTGTTTTATAAAATAATACATTAATAAAACCAACAAAACGGGGGGTTGAGTCAGCGCTAGTCAGAGAGGCAGCAGTCCCAAACAAGGATTCCCTCTGGTGTCCTTGGAATACAAATAGTAGGAGCAGAAAAAAATGGGGGATGGGTCTGCGCCGATGTGTACATTGAGTGTTGAGTCCAATGTATATTGTCGTGTCCAAAGTTCTACTTTTGGTGGGGTTCAAAAGGTACGGTATCGTGGAGAGTAGTCCAAATATAAGAAGTAGAAGAGATCTTACTTACAATTAACAGAGCTTAACCCAGCTCTGGTGTGGATAGCTCGCAGCGGTATTATCCCCGCTTACAGGATATTCGGCAAGTGTCCTCTTCTTTGTGGTAGCAGGTGGCCGTAGTTGGGGAAGATAAAATGAAGACAGTAATGGTGCAGTATGTTCTACACTGATAAAAAATATAATAAAATATGATTGATACACTCACATTCGGTAGAGCTTAGGCTAGCTCTAGTTGGTTAGGCGTACAGCGGTATCATCCCCGCTTATGGGATATATGAGGAGTGATCTTGATCGGAGTATCAGGAGCTCGAAGAGAAGGTAAAACAGCGATAGTGCTCTCAATAAAATCTTGAATGGTAAAATAAAATAATAAAATATACTCACAGTGTATAGGGCAGGCTAACTGCTCTATGTAACAGCGTAGGTGGTATAATCCCCACCTGGGATTCTTGGAGTATGGTATACAGGACTTAAAATAATAAAAAAAAATAAAAATAATAAAAAATAAAAAAATATATATATATATAAATAGAAAGTTATTAAAATAGCCAGGTAATAAAAAAGATGATGGTTTATATGTAAAAGTGACCAAAATCTTTTATTAACAATATATAAAATAGTATAAAATATCCAAACGCATTTCACCAATGTAAGGCTTTATCCATTGATAAAGCCTTACATTGGTGAAACGCGTTTGGATATTTTATACTATTTTATATATTGTTAATAAAAGATTTTGGTCACTTTTACATATAAACCATCATCTTTTTTATTACCTGGCTATTTTAATAACTTTCTATTTATATATATATATATATATATATATATATATATATATATATATATATATATATATATATATATATATATATATATATATTTTTTTTTTTTATATATTTTATTATTATTTTTTATTTTTTTTATTCTTTTATTATTTTAAGTCCTGTATACCATACTCTAAGAATCCCAGGTGGGGATTATACCACCTACGCTGTTACATAGAGCAGTTAGCCTGCCCTATACACTGTGAGTATATTTTATTATTTTATTTTACCATTCAAGATTTTATTGAGAGCACTATCGCTGTTTTACCTTCTCTTCGAGCTCCTGATACTCCGATCAAGATCACTCCTCATATATCCCATAAGCGGAGATGATACCGCTGTACGCCTAACCAACTAGAGCTAGCCTAAGCTCTACCGAATGTGAGTGTATCAATCATATTTTATTATATTTTTTATCAGTGTAGAACATACTGCACCATTACTGTCTTCATTTTATCTTCCCCAACTACGACCACCTGCTAACACAAAGAAGAGGACACTTGCCGAATATCCTGTAAGCGGGGATAATACCGCTGCGAGCTATCCACACCAGAGCTGGGTTAAGCTCTGTTAATTGTAAGTAAGATCTCTTCTACTTCTTATATTTGGACTACTCTCCACGATACCGTACCTTTTGAACCCCACCAAAAGTAGAACTTTGGACACGACAATATACATTGGACTCAACACTCAGTGTACACATCGGCGCAGACCCATCCCCCATTTTTTTCTGCTCCTACTATTAATAAAACCAAGTCTGCTATTTACTAACAGTGAGATAAATGCTTACTCACATATTTACCGTTGACCCACATTGCTAATTACTGGTCATTCAAACTTCTATTTATTCATTCGTCTGATCGTTACTACACTCCGTCATTAATTCAAACTCAGTAGTGTCCCGTTCACATTTGGCTTTTTACAGAACCACAATAAGGTAAACCCGATGTCACTGTCTCACATACATCAAACCCATTTGCACTTTCTTTCCACGTAGACTGGGTTGCCACGAATGCTGTGATGCTTCTTCCTGAACTGTTTTTTTACAGATTACCTACACCTTATTCACTCACTGATTCTGATAAACACATATATTGGTTTATCATAGCGATTGTTTCAGGAATACAAGTTCCAGACGAAGGAACTCTCCAAACACCATAACCACTGTAGTGTTTATGATACCAGGAATGACCTGCCTTTTCCCCTCCCTTTTGTAAGTAGTAAAATGGTTTTACAATGGTTTGAGTTCTTACTTGGGGTCCTCATGGAGCTGCTCTCGGTCTCCACCATATCAGACAGAGATTTGGAAGCTCCTGCACAAAAGCTACCATCAGCTCAGTGGCTGAAAGTGTCACCTGATCACTCTAATCCAATGAGCTGAGCTCTGTACTACTGTTGATTGCAAGAGTGGGGAGTGGCGAGAGTCTAGTTAAAAAGTCAATCTGTTCTAAAACGATTTGACTACTTATAATAAGGACGCCTTGACACTCTGGGCGCCATAACCACTATAGCCCATGCGAGTGTTCCTTTAATTGATGGTGCATCAGGCTTCCATTCTGCTCATAAATATAGCTGTTGCAGAATATTCATGGTTTATAATTGCATATTATTGTAGGACAATGTCTGCTGTGTTTAACACAATTACCGATTCCCTTTAGTTTCACTACTATTTCAATAAACAAGTTTATATATTTTGTACTTGAAACACAATAGATCTCTATTGCATGAATCACATTTAATTAAACAATTATTCATTGGGTTTCCTTACTACTGAGGAAGCAGTACATGTGGTTTAAGGTTAGATCAAAGAAGGATTTGAAGAAGAATTCCAATCGGTTTATTCATTAAAATAATGCGCACATCTCACAGGTACCCATCACTTCATTTTGCTACTTGATAACATAGATATAACAAAAGTTATAACTAAATCCTGATGTTTTTACTATAGAAAGCCCTTAGGAAAGCTATCACAGGATTTTTTAGCTTTTGCCCTGATTCATATTATATCAACTATTTGTGCCAACTTTCCCCAAAATCTAATGTGCACACACATTCACTTTTCTACATATTTGAAAGTTTATAAGGGTGTACTTGTTTCTGTGACCCGGGTTATATTTATATATAAAAAGGGCTATATCTAATCGGTCATGGGCATATGCCATAACTCCCAACTATGGGAGGTATGTGTGGCAGAGCTCCTGTACTCCGACTGAGTACCTCCGCCAACTCTTCATCCTCTCGCTATAAGGGACCCTGGACCGCTGCTGACCCAGTTGCCGGATCTTGAATGGGATTGCTAAGGGATTTCCATTTTGAACCAGGCTATGTGTTTATAGATCTGTTGACCCTTTCTTCAAAGGAGCTATGGTCCCAGCCCTTTCGCCAAACACC